ACACAAGTACCTCCTAAGCTTCCCGGCTAATGTACCTACAGCTAAGCTACCTACCTTAGGTACCTAACCTTGGTTCAGGAGGTACCTATCCGCCCGCCTCAGGTACCTGTCATCTAAGTACCTACATTTACCTTTACCTACACCTACCTCTTACTTACATACATGGATAGGTACATACCAATCTCCTTTATCCATACAAACACCGTTCGTTACAGGTCGTCGTCGAACTGACTACGTCTCGGGAACCTAGAAAACCGTTTCGCGCATTGCAAAATCTACTAAGCATTGGGTTGTTTTCCTGATATGAAGATATCGTTTCATCTTCCACGTTATATTCCCGTCTTTTCTTGAATCTCCCATCTTGTCACGCTTCACTCCGATCTGGGCTCGGATCTCCTCCCCGGATCTTGATGACGCCTGTTCGGTAGTTTACACTCTCGAAGCCGACATTGGCGACGTGACGGTTTGCGTCTGCACGCCATACCATGTCTGCGCACAATCAATATTATGCAGGCCAAGCATCCAGTTCAGCCAGCCCACAAGCGTGGTAGCAGGACAGGAGGCCAGCAAAAGCCCGGCCTCTTTTGGGGCCTTCACCCCGGTCGCATGCTCTTGTCTCTTGTGGCGTTCTGTGTTCGGAAAGGGTGATGGGCGCACAGCATCACTCCCGTGTTGGCTCCGTCGATAGTAAGACTCTAGCTCGGGCACCTCGTCGTCCTTGAGCCGCAGAGTAGCGATTTGGGGTTGTATCGCAGCAAGGAAGATCGCACAGCGGCACTAGCCTTCCCCCTCACCCCAGCTAGGGATCGGCTCAAGCGAAGTGATAAGCTGATTGGGGTGTCTACGAGTCCGCCGGGTGCACATAGATCGCTGTTCCTCTTCGTCTTTATGAGTCGTACCCTGATTGAGGTGTATGACCCCTTGGGCCTGCGACGTGGATCCCAGACCTGACAAAGTCGCTAACCTTTTTGAGAGCTATTTCTCGCAGGGTCGATGGTAAAGCGACGGCTAACAGCCGACGTTCTGTTCTTGATCGTGAGGTGTCTGGTAGGAGTAATAGTGGGACTGGAGCTTGTATGCTCCATACCTTCTGCCGTCCTAGGTGGACGTATAAATGGTCATCTACTAATGATTTCTCCTGGTTGAAGGGGTACACTTTAATCCTCACACACCCCATTTGCCTAACTGTCCCCCTTAAGCGTTGATTAGAGCGGAGGACGTGAGCAGTCCACCACTCACCTCACCGAATCACCACCAATGTTACTCTTTCGTTAACGTGTCGGATAGCCTTCCTCGGATAGCCCACATAACGAACGAAGAAAGCTAGTGCTGGACTAGGATCAGCTCAAGGCTCACCTGAAATAAGCTCACCTGCACGTAATCTATGCCCTCTACCTAGCTACCTACTCTTTCTAAGGACAATGTAGAAGAGGCTGTGGCCTCTAACACTGCTCTTCGAAGACAGGAGCCAAGTCTATTCAAAAGCCTAGGTCTTATGAACTAGAACCTAGTGTGTCGAGCTTGTTCTAGTAGCCCCCCCTTATTACACGACGGCCACCCAAGGCGCCTAATCCCTAACAGTCTAACCCCGGCGCTATTCCCTAAGGCTAGCCTGTAATCTCCCCCCCTCGCCGTTGCTGAGTAACCGTAGAAAGGCTCTGACTAGGGGAAGATCCAAGGCAATTTGCTAGGACCAATCATTCATATGCCGCACCTGTCGCATGTCAGCGAAAGGCAACCATTGTAAGAGTGTAAAACGACGAGCCTAGTGAGAATAATGTCGTACACAAACCTCGACTGACCGAAAGGAGCGGATTTTCGGTAAGGAAACATGGCATGTTCCTCCCATGTGAACATCCCTGGGAAATAGTTCGAGGATCAACGTCGATATGTCGTTTCAAATTTCTTGTTAATCACCTGCAAACAGAGCTAGCGTGTTATCTTCTCTGAAAATTGTAGGCATGCACCGACGCTGTCGGAACAGGGGGAACGAAAGACTCTAACCTTCAAACGCACTCATCCCTTGGCCGATCATCAAAGGTACCGCGAATTTCAGCCCCGCCCTTCGTAATCCTGGTTATCAAGGAACTCTAAGGAATAATTTAGGACAAGAATATCAATTGAGGACTCCTGATGTTTGTACACATTCCTATCCGTTAGAGTCGCGATTATGCCACGTACGGAGCCTCTATCTCCAAAGATAAACTGCCGGCATCTACGCGTTTTCGTAATTTATCGACACTACATAGAAACGGGAAACGTTTGATATCCTTAAGAGTTGCTATAAGATGGAGACGTACATGGCTGTGCCGCAGACTGAATTGACGGAAGTATGTAAAATCAATTGTTTGCCGAACTTGGGCTTTACTTGTATGAGCCTTTAGAATAGGGGTACTAAGAGAGCAATATAAAATGGGAGTGATACGCATTTCGTGCGGTATTAGGACAAACTAGCTTGGCGAATATCATCCATAATAACTACCCATCTTAGGAAAAGGGGATACGGTATCTGTTACGCCCTCAGGATACGAAATGCCGACAATAGACTGCTAATCGAATACCATCTCCTTCTCAAAAAATCAATTCCCCCCATGACTCGCCCTCCTTACGCGAGCCGCTCCGGCGTTCCCGCCCTTTCTTACCCCGTCGTAGTCTAGTTTCTCAAGTTCTACATGCCTGTAAAGCGGTGATCTTCGTGCTCGACTCTCCACAACTAAATTCCGTCGGGGGATGTTCTCACGACCTCCTTCAGCCACAACTGGCGGTTCTGGTACTTGTCCTCTAAGGTGGCGTCATGAGTCTGCCGGCGAGGATGGGATGGGGTGACTTTGGGTGGGTTGCCGCACGCGAGAGTAGAGATGTCGCCGGAAAGCAGTTGACGGGTTCGCGCCATTAGCCGTTCCCCTTGGCTTCCCCTCTGGGCAGGGTCGTGTCGGTAACGTAGTACGGGCGGCATGAGACGTCGGGGTAGAACAAACTAGCGGTTGTGGTTATCGCCGACCTCGAACCCGGCCGTCCCTCCCAATTGTCGATCAATGATTCGATGGCAGGATACGATGTTCTCGACGGCTGAGGCATTATGAAGGTCGATAGGATATGCATGAGACAACATTCGAGTAGTAGTTGTGGAGTAGGGGTTGTAGCCAGTCCAGAGGAGAGGAGGGGAGATGTCACCAGGTCGACGCCAGACCTCAAAGATAATAGGCTTTCGCGTCTCGACCCTTCATCCGTGGGGGCCCAGCATGACCAGATACAGTATCAGATGCACATCCATCTGTCTATCGAGGTAGAGGCACCGTCTACAAAGCGGGATGCTGGTGATCCGCGGGATTAATTCCATATAATAGCATGCATAAACTAATGAGATTTGGCTGTCAGCCAACCTCCAATCACCAGGGTTTTTTGGGGTTCTTAAGATCCAGTCTCTTCTGTCGGCACTCCTGTACCACCATACTTGATTCCCTTGTGCGGGCGTGGAAGAAGAAACTTGTGATGAGCGAGTTGGTGGCGGTAATATTGGGTAGCAATCGGGCCACCCAGCGACGATGACGGCTTCGAATTTTCCTCCACACTTGTCTTTCGAGTTCTGCTTCCCGACATGCCCTTCTGAGGCCCTCGGCGCATACGAAAGCATGTAGGGACCATCCGTGCTGAACTGGACTATGTGAATACTACGCTGTACGGTTGACACCGTAGGTCTGCCTGCGTTCACAACGCCCATGCAACACCCCGTAACCAACCAACACCACAGGCGCGCGGGCGAAATGCGCGACATCCTGTAGGCTACGCCCTTCCACGAAGAGGCAGTACGGTGCCGCGGGGTACTATCCTCTGGAGCCGATTTAGGCGAGCGACCATCGGCGAAAGTTGCTGGTTGTCTCTGCTAGCCAGCCCCTCAAGCGACAGGCGAAACCCGAGCTGGCCATGCAAGCTATCGCTCGAGGAGAAGGACGGAACAGGGTCGACGTGGTAATGAAACCCTGCTCGAAATGTTTGGGAGGTAATAAAACATCTAACCACGGGCTATCAATGCCAGAACTTGCTTTCCACTGCCACATGGCGGTACTCCCCCTATGCAGGTGTCGACCGGGTTACTTGGGAATTTCGCGGATCTGTTCGCCACCGCCGTGTCGAAAAGAAACGCGTTTCAGTCGGGACGCAAACAGTGAAAACAGACAGCTTGAATTAGGTAACCACAATGGAACTAATAGATTACGAACACGGTAGCTTTTGACGCTCCCTCCATCCTCGCTAGCTTCCGCCTACAACCACGCGATCCAACTCGTCCTGCTTCGTTCCTTGTTTAGCATGTTGCTCTCTCATTCCTCAAAACAGTCGGCAATGCTCATTGCGTGACCTAAAAGTAGCCCTAACACAGAATTACCTTGAAATTATCTCAGAATTCCCGCTCAACCATGCACTTGATTATCCTCGAGGCATATAACGCGACTTGAACGAAGCGGACGATCGGTACCGCGAGGCTGTTGCGACCCTTATAAGAACTCTGCTCGCATCTGTCACAACATTCCGGCTTGCTTCGCCGGATGGACATGGCGATGTGGCTGCCGGAATTTCTCTTATCCTCCGGCTTGTTCGAGGGGGCAGGGTGACCCTCGACTAATTTCGTCCGCTCATCCGCTATGTTGTGGACAAATCCGCCGACGACACCATTTGGGCTGCAGTCTTCAGCATTGTCGACACCCTCGACCCGTTTATCTTCCCTCCATCCAGCACACCCCCGACCTTCAAGGGAAGACCCATCAAGACCAGCTCGAGCCGATTTACCGATAGCGAAACGACCGATACCGTCGAAGGGGAGCTCTTCAAGGAGATAAAATAGACAGCACGCCCATGCTATCGATCGGCAATTCTAAGCCGCGCCCGGACACACCCGGGGGGGGGGGGACCTATGGGAGAACAAGACATATTCCTGCCTCTTCATCTCACCAGCCGGCCGTGTCATCAGCGCCTTCAAGAAGACCAAGGAACTGCTGGAGTCAATGCGAAATGCGATCAAGGCACACCAGTCCCTCTACGCCATTGGCGGCGTTCTCCACCGCGACATCTCGCCAAACAACGTTATTGTTACGGAGCCTGAAACGGCAGATGGCTTTGAAGACATGCTTATCGACCAAGACTTGGCCGAAGTGAGAGACAACGGCCTGAGCGGAGCGGAACACCGGACTGGCACGATACCGTTAATGGCTATAGAGGTGCTCCGCAAGGCCAGTCACACCTGCCGCCATTATCCAGAGTCGTTCTTCTATGTCCTGCTTTGGGTTTGTGCGCATGCATCATGGATGAAGGGAACTATTCCCAGCGGAGAGATGTAGCCTAAGGAGAGCCTCCTCCGGCAATAGGAGATTGGAACATTTGAAGAAATAGCGGACACTAAGGTGGGTAATATGACTGAGAACGGACTCAAAGTAATTATGCGCCACTTTCCAAGGTCGTTGGATGCTATCAAGCCACTATGTCTGAGGATCGGGAATATCCTCTTCCCCATCGAGAATAGAAGGATAAAAGTCGGAACCCGCGCAGGAGACCCAGACCAACTTTACGGACCCATCATAGCAGCATATGACGGCGCTATCAGCGGTCTATCAAGTACAAGCATGTGACTTTGTCTCAGCCTCTTCTTCCTCGACCTGCCGATCCCTTCTTAAGACTCGAGCTATTTAGCAACGGAACAAGCTATATGCGCATGCAGGCCCAGGCGTTTGCGGTCACAGGTAGGTATATGGGGAGTAAACCATGTAATCGTAATATCTTACCTAATCAAGTAGTAGGGGAGCAAGTAACCATCTTATACCGCCAAAAGGTCTCGCAGCCTCCACCTCACCTCACTGTTTCGGCCGCTAAAAACGGCGGCACTTGCTGCCGCTTACTTCTGAACATTAACAACGGTGGATGAAAGTACGTAGGTATCAAGAGTATCAGAACATTAGGCAGGTTGAGGCATCATGTGTAAGCCGTATATTACCAATTACGGATGCCTTCAAGAATGGTTTGAGGAAGTATTAGGCGGAAGGTAGGGAAAGTAACATTTCAAAATATCCTCGACAGCGCCTTCGTCCAGCACCGCGCCGAATCTGTCCGCCTCCCGAGTTAGCGAAACACACCCAACATGAGAGTGGCGATTAAAGACGAACCCCAGACAGACGACGTGTTCTCGCAAGTCCCTTGTTAGGTTTTCCAGAGCGTCCTTACCGCCGGAAAGACCAAGCCGCCGAACGCGGTTCCAAATCTGGACTGGTGTGATCTCAGGCGGTGCCAGTCCGAGATTTAGGCTACTGCTCAGTAACCTGTCGAGCTCATTGTTCGATATGTCGTACGTAGCAGTCGTCGATAGGTTAGAGGTATTCTGCTGCCACAGGGAGAAGCAGGCAGTAGAGACATGGCCAGAAAATTCGCTTTCGCTGTTGATGATACCGGAGTGGCCATGGTCGAGGTGCTTACCTCTGAGGTGGTCCATGCAATCCGTCTCCAGGCTTTGAAATACCGGATTGTTAGCTGCTCGGTTCCCAACTCCGGGAAGGCGAAGGGCTCAGAATCAACACGTAGGTATCTTACGCGAGAACAAATTGGATTCCAACTCTCGGATCGGCCAGGAGAGAATCCGAGTCGTCGGTAGAGGGCGCCTTTTCTAGCACGCTGCTGGATGCCGGAGGCGCTTCTGGTAGGTTAAAACTGGCCTTCCACGGGCGATGTTCTCCTTCGGCAGTGCCGCGGTCGTTCACAGGTGAAACGGTACTAGGACTTTCGGAAAACTCGACATGAACATAGACACCCCGATCGCCCTCTATATTGGAAGTGACATGGCCGTAGGAGGCCGCGTCTTGAAAATTGGAGCGCTCGTCCGAAGCAGCGGGGGAAGAAGCGCTGTTTTGTGCCAGGGCGTGGAGCAGACCATTTACCTGCTTCTGCAGCGCCTGGGCCCGCTCGATGGCCTCCCTCTCGCTTTCCCGCAGCCTGAGGACCTCCTTCTCCAGAATCTTGATATACATTTGCGTACGCTGCCGATGCGTTCTGCGATCTCAGTGAGCCAGCCTGCCGCTAGGAACGGACGAGGACGAGGAAACCCACCGCTGCGCCTGCAGAACCTGGCCCCGTCGCTTATCCTGGCCTACTCCGGCCGATGTACTACTACCTTGCATCGTGCATGCTGCAGACGGCATTAGTAGGGGACCACACGGCCGGTATCAGCGAAGCGCGGGAACCCCGGAATAATAACCCACCACTGCCCCCGGCTGTCTTTGGGAGGACGTCCTGGCCCAGGATCTGCTTCGACCGCTTTGATATCAGTCCATACTCGCGCCCGTTCCCCATAGCGCCGGCGTATCGGTTTCGTAAGTAGGTAGAGACGGGTGTATAAGCCGCCCAACGGGTGAATGTGTAAACGTATTGTGTGTGTGTGGGTATACTCCACGGTAGGGGGTAAAATCGGTAGAATCCAGGTACACCTACGGATGGTAGGTATTATGACGCTTTTCCCAGTGCAAGCTTGTAGGGGTCTCTGGCAAGTGGTTAGCTGGCCAACTCATGTCATGTGATTCTAGTTTGCGGCGGCGACACTAGTATGTTGTAAGAACATGCTCTAGGTAGGTACATTCAGCCACGTACCCGTGGACCGGCGCTGCCAGGTACCCACCCATCGGAGGAGGTTGTGAGAGATCAGTAGGTTACTTAACGGAGGATAGGTTCGATTCCTAACAGCGCTACTTGGTAGTTTTCGTTATAGGTAGCTCATCTGTGAGGTACCTAATGTCGGGTACCTGATCTTGACAAGATCCTCCCCCAGTAGGTGCCTACAGAGCCAAGTAACTAAAGTTTTAGCAGCTGCGTTTTCGTGCCCAAGCCTAGGTACCCGCTTGCCTGCTCTGGACCTAGGGTTTAGGAAAGGCTCTAGTCTGGCTCCTAGCTAGAGGCAGGTACTGATACATAGGTGATACACCACTTATCGGGAGTAGGCGTTGTAGCGGGTACCCCTGAGATAGGGAAATGCCGACAATCGCGTCATTCACACGAGTTCCACTTGACCCATGCAATGCCTAGGTACATAGTACCGCCCGCCCCCCCTGAGATTCCTAATCTTCCCCCCTTTACCAACTGCTTAGCCGATTAGTGCCGGCGCCGTTGTGGCCATGATGCATGGCGTACCACGCGCGATGCCGCCTGTTTCGCAGCAGTGCCGGGCGGAACCGCTCCGGACTGCGTAGCTGAAGACTGGCTCCGTATCTCCCCTCCATCCTAGCTATCGCTATATCGCTAGCAGTGCGAAGAATTAGGAATCACTAGGTCTTGCGCACTCCAGCCTAGAAATAACGTGATCGATCTAGGTCCTTCCTGGGCTGCTAACTTCTCGTCGCCCTTCCAGACCCTACTCGGTATCGCGAACCGATCGATCCCCTTACACTCGCCAGCGCGTCATGGAGACCCGGATCAGATATATTAGACGGCCACCGACATCATGTTTTTCCATTTGCTCTCCTTACAGCGTCCCCTGCGCGACAGAGGCAAGAGCCAACTCCCAAGATGGCCGTTCCCGACGCTCCCAACGTTTCCGTAGATGAGGCTGCAGTGCCTGGCACTGTCCGGCTAGTTGATCTTCACCACGAGCTCCACGGCGTCAGTGAGCGCGGAGTTATCATTCTCGTACCTCAGCCCACCTCCGACCCCGAGGATCCCCTTAACTGGTCGCCATGGAGAAAGCGTCGTGCCATGTACCTGACGCATCTGTACGTTATCGCGCGACGCCGCCGTCTCTGGAGCCTTCGCCAAAGCTAACAAGCATGTTTTCAGGTATACCTTCGTTATCGCTTGGGCCTCGGCAGCTATCTACTCGATCCTCGTCAACATCTCCCAAGATACCGGTCTCTCCGTTGCGACGCTGAACTCCGGGTCCGGTACCATGCTTCTGTTTTTCGGCTGGGGCGCGCTGCTTGCCCAGCCTATCGCCTTGACCTTCGGACGCCGTGGAACCTCGCTGCTGTCTTTGCTCTTTACTGTGGTGCGTAGGGCGATTGATAACGATGGCTCTTTTTTTTTTTTTCTTTGGGCGAGACATACCTATGCTTATTACGCTCTTTAGGCCATTTCCGCCTGGACAGCATATGCGCCGAGTTATGCGGCCTGGGTTTCTACACGTGTGCTCCTCGGTCTGGTCGGATCGCCAATCGAAGTTGTACCTGAGATCATTGTGACAGACCTGGTTAGTTCTTTTCTCCTTTCCGCCCCTTCATAATTTCCTACTACTCGGGTGAGTTTGCAGAGGTGCTGACGTTGTTACACCATCGTAGTATTTCAACCACGAGCGGGGCCACCACATTGGGATCTACATGCTTATGCTCACTGGAGGCAATTATTTGTGCGCCGTCTTCTCTGGCCTCATCAATGACAGTATGGATTGGCAATGGGTTATGGTGCGTACTCCGAATTCTCCCTGGCGCCGCCGGGGTTCCTGTCATGCTCACATTGTCTGTTCTAGTACTGGTGCGCCATCATCAACGCTATCGCCTTCGTCCTCTTCTTCTTCGGCTTTGAAGAGACAATGTACTACCGCAACACCGGCTTCGAGGCCGCCCGTAGCGATTCCAGCACAGATATCGGTACCTTGGCCCCTGCCTCAACCTCTGCCTCGGTGTCCGAAAAGGACGTTGGAAAGGCCCCTGGCGCTGCCCAAGAGACGGTCGCAAACGCAAGACGCGAGCCCGTTTACCCTAAACCTCGGTCCTACTGGCGGAAGCTCGGTCTCTTCCGCGTCATTCCCGAGAAGCCCAATCAGTTTTTGGCGTATATGTACTTGCCGCTAAAGAATTTCTACACATACCCTCTCGTCCTATGGGCCTCTTTTTTCCACGGAATTGCAGTCGTGTGCTTCAATGCGTTGAACGCAACAGCATCTGTCATACTGTCCAGTCCGCCGTATAGTTTCAAGAGTTCTTACGTGGGGTTGGCATATATCGGGCCAACAATCGGCGCGATCGTCGGGTGAGTCCTATTCCAATCTCTAAATGTGTGCCTGCCTCAAGCAGGGTCGGAAAACGGCGACACCAGCTGATATAATTCGTTGCCTCAGTGCTGTGTGGTCAGGAGTAATCAACGACAAGATCTGTCTTGCTTTAGCTCGCAGAAATAAACATGGACTGCGAGAGGCAGAGCATAGATTGTACGCCGCCGTCATTATGTGCATCATCCCACCTGTCGGCTTCATCGTGTGGGGCGTTGGCGCATCACAAGGTATCCATTGGATTGGACTTGTATTTGGGATGTCTATGCTTGGTAAGCTGTCTCCCTTACCGCCGTAAATGTCCGCCCACCTGGCGAGTACGCTCTAACAGTACAACGTAACACATACAGGCTTCGCTCTGACTGCTGGTGGTGGTCTGATGATCAACTACATTACCGATTGCTACAAGGAGCTGCAAGGCAGCACCATGTCTTCGCTGAACGTGATGCGCTGCACCATGGCGTTTGGATTCGGATATGCGGTGACCCCCTGGTGGGAGGCAACCGGCACTCAGAACACATTTATAACGTGGTCGCTGATGAGCTTCGCACTCTTCGCGACGTTTATCCCCATGATTATCTGGGGGAAGCAGCTCAGAGCCAGGAGCACCCACGCTTATTGGACGGAGGTAAAGTCGGGGTTAGCATCGTATCATTGAGAGGGCGCGCGATGCACATGAGCGGCACGACCACGCATGCCACCAGCCCTGTGGGGGCATACATATGTCGACGCGGAGCCCCCACAATGATCGACATGCATTATGAGTATTGTCGTTCAGATATATATACATATGTGGTAGGTACCTACGACAAAATACTGTCATTTCAGCACTTGCAAACGCCAATAGATACGCCTCATCTGACACTTGTTAAATAATCCGAATCCCTCATACTACTTAAGGCATTCCTGATGACAAGGGGGAACCCTAAAGTTACTGTAAAGTCGACTCCTAACTCCGTTTCTATATAAGGCAGGTAAATACCTAGGTAGGTATATGACGCCGGCAGCATTACCTGAATGCGATACTTAGGGACCTACCCACCTAGGTACCTCCACAAGGTACCTACATGCATTAAAGACATGGTGCCCACGGCGCCACGTGCGAAGCTTGTGATCTCCAAGATCCAAGGGTTTACCTAGGTAGGTACTTAAACGCATCCGCATACATACCTATGCACATACATGCCTACATGTAATTAGGGCATTAATACGCACGGGACGAATGTCACTGCTTCCATCATCAGGCACCCAGGTAGGTACTTAGGCGCCATGGTCACGCAATTTAGCTAGGCGAAGGAGGTGTGCCCAGCTATTCCTCAATATTATCTCAACACCTCCCCTCCCTGACATAGGTACACACTGCTTGGCGATCGTGGCGATCGTGCAAGTTCCTATCAATCCCTCCCTTGCCCGAGCCGGTCCTCGCGAATGATCGCCGCAGCTTTTTCCGCGATAGCATACACCGTCGCCTGCAGGTGCGAGCTTATATGGAGCGGAATAATACTAGCATCCGCCACCCGCAAGCCAGCCACGCCGTACACCTGGAGTTTCGGGTTCACCACGCCGCCGTCTCTCTCGGGAAGCATCGCGCACGTTCCCACCGGATGCCAATCGGTGACGGTGGTGTCGCGAATGAACCGTCTCCAGTCCTCTTCCGACCCCGGCGCCCCCTCGCCCTCCTCGGGGGGGAAGACCCGGCGGGCGATGATGCTGTTCAGCGGCGGCTGGAGGGGGATCTTTGCGGCAAAGATGGTCCCCGCGGTGATGATGTCGAGGTCCGGAGTGAAGGACCCAGCCTCGCTAGAAGCAGGCCGAGGCAGCCGGGCCGGAGTATAGTAGGCGGGGTCGATGGCGGGCTTATCCGAGGCGTGAGGAGACCGGATGTGGATCTGGCCTCGAGAGAAGGGATATTGCTGAATTTGGTGGATAGTCGCATATCGCTTTCCTCTCTCCCCTACAAACGCGCTACTGTTCCCGTGGTGGAGGATGAATTCAACGTGCCCCACGCTGCCGTGCTTGAGATTTTCGAGAAGCAACTCCTTCTGTGTAGGCAAAAGGCCGGGGATTTCCGCCGCGGCGATCTGTTCGTATAGGTCGGACAATTTCCGCCCTGTGATTAGATCTTTCAGCGGCACGTATGCCATGGAGGAGGGCGTGCTCCGGTAGATTCCGTCTTTTTCTTCGAGATACAGTTTCTCGGCGGCCTCCTTACTAGCAGGGTCTTCAGCCAGATCCTCCGGCGTTTGAATTCCCGGCTCGAGCTCGTAGGTAATCTCAGTCACTAGGGCAATGCGAATCCGTCAGTGAGGATTCAACACAACCAGAGGAACGTGGGCGTAAACTCACTTAGATGGTCCTGTAAGTTACGGCCGACGCTCTCATTTTCATACTTGACCTCGACCCCAGCTTTCGTCAACACTTCGTGAGATCCTATACCCGACAGTTCGAGCAGCTGTGGCGATTGTATAGTACCGGCAGCGACCAGGACCTCGAGGCCAGCTTCGATAGTGAAGACGCCGCTTTTATGCAAGTATTCCGCGCCAGTAGCGCGTAACGTGCCTTGTCCACTCCTTTCTATCAATATTCTCTGAGCCTGTGCCCCTGTCAAGATCACCAAGTTTGGCTGTTCAATTTCGGCGCTCCGCTGAGGATTATGACCCAGATAGGCGGTGACGGAGTAGCTTCTCGTTGCAGTAACAGGGTCCACACTCTGAATGGTGGTCCAGGAGCCAGTGTTGGACCCGTTCAATGCCGACGGGTTTTTCTTGATTCCGAGAATTTGAAGTGTGTCACGCCAAAACGAATGGGTGGCGGCATACCACGGCGAGAACGAGGTGGAGACTGGACCCGAAGTCCCATGAAAGACAGGATCAACTGAAGAATGGTGCTTGTCCTGGTGAGACTGGGATGGGAGGGTCAAGGTCTCCGATTTCTTGAAAAATGGTCTTGTTGGAGAGCGAAGTCAGCAACCAAGGGCCTGCCTGGATCAGGATCGGGATCTGAATAACACTAACAATAGCGACTCCCAGTTCCACCCCGGGTTCCCCAGCTTCTCCCAAGCATCGTAATCTTCCTTAGCTGCCCGATTCCAGACCAGAAAGTTCAACGCGCTTGTGCCACCCAGCACTTTACCTCGAGGCCAAGGCAGTTTTCTGCCGCCTAGCCCTTCCTGAGGCACAGTTTCGAATTTCCAGTCAAATTCGTCGTTCCCAACCAGAGACCCAAAATGGCCCGGGATGTCAATTAGCGGGTTGCCTTGGTGGTAATTCCCTGCTTCTAGCACGCCGACCTTGATTCCCTCGTCCTGTGCGAGCCGGGAGGCAAGAGCAAGGCCGGCAGTGCCACCGCCGATTACCAGGTAGTCGTAGGATCTTGCGTTGAATACACCGGGGTCGGAAGTTATGAGATGGGCCATTATAGCGGTTGAACGAAGAAGTCTTTCTCCAAACAGCGAGCAAAGAGGCGCTTTTTTTAAAATGTTTTTTGTTGTCTTGAGATATTACCTACCTTGCTGCCTCTCCGCTAGGCACATATCCCGGCCTCGCCGTAGGGACTGAATAGATATAGATATCCCACTCAGCGCATAATCTACGCGGCCTATGTGGAGGCGCTCCTCTAGCTGTACCGGCGATGGCCCTATCGATCAGACTATGTGGTCCCGGCCCTGATCGCACCACCCGAGAATATAAACCGCGTCCCCGGTCCCTTGGCAGGCATTAGTAATGTATACAACCCCTGTGCACATCATCGCACCCGGCGATCTGGGTGCATAACGCCATTTGGGTCCACACTTGCATGTCTGGATTTGAGGTAGACAAGGATGACGATAGCGGATCCCCCCTCCTGAACGACACGGTAGTGCTGTCGCTAAACCGTCATCGTAGTCTCGAGATATGTTAATCAGAGAGAATGCTGCAACCCTAAGCGTGGCGTGTGGATTGGGTCTACGCATCGCATGTCTCAACCATGTGAGGAGCATAGTACAATATTGCGGAGTCCCAAGACGAATTACACGGCCTGGGAAACTCGCAAATGAGCAATCCCCGGCAAGGTTCCGCGCGGATTCCCCCCTAGACAACACGATTATATACCAGTAGCTTGCCCTTTAGAGACGCGGCCCAGGAACCTGCCCATCTTTCCACTTTGCCTCGCTATAAAGCCGAATAATCGCGTTTACAAGCTCTAGTTCAGCTGCCAAAATGACGACCCCGATTGCAACCCCAGGCCCGCTGCCCCTTATCATAAACAACGTCGATGTAACAACTGAGACTACTTTCCCTGTCTACAGTCCTGCAACCAACGAAGTCCTCTGGTCATCCTTTGCAGCAACGCCCGAGCACGCCCGAGCCGCCGCCGATGCTGCTCAGGCCGTTTTCCTCTCTTGGTCTCGGATAAAGTGGTCCCAGAGACGAGACCTGCTCCTCAAGGCCGCGGAAGTTCTAGAGGGCCGCGCCGAGGAGCTCAAGGCAACCTCAATACAAGAGACCGGTTCTGTTGACGCCTGGGAAAGCTTCGATGTTTACGGCGGGATTGCTATGCTCCGAGAGGTCGCGGGCAGGGTGTCTTCTATCGAAGGCCATATCCCACAGACGGAAGGCAGATGTATGTCATCAGCGGCACTGGAGTCTATTTCTCCGCTCCGTCTCCTTTCCCCCGGTAGCGCCGAATTGACTTGATGCCGTAGCTGGCTTCGTCTTCCGGATTCCTTACGGCGTTGTCCTGAGCATTGCGCCCTGGTAATGCTTGCTCCGATTTTCCCTTACCTGTGGACGGCGGTCTCTGAACACAGAAGCAGGAATGCCCCCGTCATTCTCGGGATCCGCAGCATCGTCTACCCCCTCGCGGCTGGTAACACCGTCGTCTTCAAAGGGTCAGAGTTCTCGCCCCGCACCCATTACCTGCTAGCGGATAGTTTCCGCGCCGCCGGCTTCCCGCCCGGTGTCGTCTCGCTCGTCACTCACGCGCCCGGCGCCTCCGGGGCAGACGTCGTTGGTGCATTGATTGCGCACCCTGCCATCAAGAAGATCAACTTTACTGGATCCACCGCCGTTGGAAAGATCATCGCCGAGTTGGCAGGTCGGCATATCAAGCCGGTGCTATTAGAGCTTGGCGGGAAGGCGACGGCTGTCGTGCTTGACGACGCGGATCTAGAGCTGGCCGCCAGTACTATCGCCGAAGGAGCAAATACACATGTAGGCTTAAGTTACCCCCGCTTCTTTTCTTTCTTCAGTCCTCTCTAGATGTGATATCTCGTTAGGCTCATTCATACCTTCGTTTAATCTAGGCTGGTCAAATATGTGTTGGCACAGAAAGGGTTGCCGTCCTTTCTTCTGTAGCAGAGAAGTTTACCGCGGCGCTAAGGAGGGTGTATGAGGAACGCTACTCGGATATTTCCAAACAGCAGCCAGTAACACAGGCGTCTTCCGCCGATCGGATCGATGCCCTCTTAAAGCAAACGGTCGAAGAAGGAGGAAATGTTGTATTTGGTGGACAACGAGACGAGCACAACCCACGTTGTTTCCAGCCTACCATACTTACGAACGTTGAGGGCACGGTACTGTATAACACGGAAAGCTTTGCCCCGTTCGTCTCGGTGACGGTTGTTGACACTGTCGAGGACGCCGTCCGGGTTGCGAATGACGGCGATTACGGGTTGTCGACCGCGGTTTGGTCGCAGGACTTTTACAGGGCACTCAAAGTTGCCCAGAAGATCAATGCCGGGTATGCTACTCATCAGCCCTCACCACCTACCAGACATACCATGATGCTATCAGCTTCGTGACTGATAAATCGCGCGGCAGACACGTTCATATCAATGGCTCCACCATCTATGACGAGCCTACGCTACCATATGGAGGGGTAAGATCAAGTGGAATTGGCCGATTCGGGGGTAATTGGGGGATCGACGAATTTCTGACCATCAAGACTGTCACATTTCCATTGTAAGCTACGCCGAGGCATGAAGGTGTACACCCGAACGTACATAATATGACAAGAAATGGGTGCGAGCGTAATGGCACAGCGGGAACTGCTAGCGGGCCCCTGTAAGGGGGATAACTGACTGCAGGAGAACTTGGAGGCTTGGCCACTATGTGATATATATTATGTATATCTCTTGTGTGGTAGGAACTGCCTGCCTAGGTCTATCGTCCCCCAACTTAATTCACCTTTGCCTTTTCCCACGATTCCCGAAATCACGGATCGCAGATCGAGATGCCAAAAACACGTGGGGAGCCCGAGAACACTGACGTGAAAAGGAACTGGGTGTGTTTTAGCTAATCAGCAAGAGACAATGCACGACGCATGTGCTGTCCCTTCGATAAATAAGCAACCTTCGTGTTGAACCTCCTCTAGAACCGGATGAAAATGGTTGCGTGAAAACACAGGTAGGTACACGCATGATATGCTACGTGAAAGCAGTTTTTGGGAGGGAAAAAAAGAGAAAAAAAGAAGTGGCCTGAATACTCGACTTATAAACTGGACATTTGAACCTCAACTTAGCTTAAGCCTAACCTGATAACCGAAACCCTCGACTCGGAAACCTAACTCCGAAACATGCAAATAACCCTAGATCGACAACGCTCTCGTATCCCTACCTCAACTCCGATGTATGCGATTATCTCGTCATAGTAAGACTGGGGTTAGCCCTGCACATACCTATGTGGCGGATTATACATGGGACGTAACCAGTCAGCATGTCACATCGGCCAGGGTCAGCCGCATACACCTACAACTACGTAATACACAAACATCTAGTTACGATGATTCGAGAATATTTGGACATCTCCGGTACGCCGCCTAAAGGTACCGCCAAGTAAAGTACGCGAGCGTAAGCGTGCAGACGTCGACGCGTGGTGGACACCGAGAAGGCTTGTCTTCAACAATTGGTAATGACAGGCGAAGAAATAGGGGCTGGTCCCAAAAGTGGGGACGTCGATTTACCTCCTTCATCTCGGTGTGAATACATCGCAGAGAACTGCTTCTTTTGTCAAGACTCCCATAGCTCGCTAATCATGAACAAATATGGCTACCAGAGGCCGCTCGCCGTCAAGGGTCGCGGTGAGATTGTAAAGGTCCAGATAGCCCTTACGGCTGACTTGCGCACCCAAAAGACACATCCTAAGCGCCCCGTATCGTACCTAAGGCCCTTTCTTACGATTTTCTCTTCTGCTTCAGCGGCCCGATTATGTTTAAAATGCAAGCTAAGCGGTCATTGAGAAGCTTGTCATTCCTTAGCTAAGCCACCGCCGTGAGCGAGGAGGCCAAAAAGAAGTCCTGCGGGATCTAAATTGGCCCAAACTAGACAGCCTCGTACAGACAGTCTCACGGAATAGATACCTCACAACCTCGGGATCGATCTACTACTTGTCACCAATCGGATCGGCTTCCGCATACATACAACATCGGGCGAACAATACACTATCACGGTGGGCCTCTTACTACGTACTGCCTCTCGAGCAATCCAGAGGCTGGCGGTCATCAGGCCAAAGGAGAAACTTGAAAGAACTTACCTCGCTCGTAAGGGCCGGCGTATAGCATCACCGGTGGGACAACCCGTACTCCCGTGTACAGCTCAGCCCTAAGCTCGATAACAACATCTACGCTCACTGGGGTTCTCCTTTGCGGATACTAGAAACCACGACACGAAAGATTCAAGACGAGGCTCTCGGTCTTAACACACGCCTAACTAGGCATCGACTGGCCACGGGCATGCCTCGCCGGATCTCCCAAAGCATATCGGCGTCCACCCCCTGGCAGAGCTAGCCCTATGGAAAGAGAGCTAAGGTGAGCCTGTGCTGGTCCCTACGTATCTTACCTGCGACGCAATTCCTCCAGGCAAACCTTGGCTGCAGTGGTACGGATGCTGCCCAGCCAACGCAGAAGGCCTACACCGAAAATTGCCGGGTCGCCAATGCTGCCCCTACTCCGGAAAGAGTGGGAGCCTGCATTTAAATTGCCGCGGCACGACCTGTCGATGATGTGGGAGGGGTCGCCAGCAAGGGGTCACATCCGCCACGGCAGTCCTGCATCCGGCCGTTTATTATTATTTTTTTTTCCTTGACTTATGCTGCAGGGTCTAGTTCGGCCTGGGAGACATTAGCAAGCTTCTTTGTGCAGAATTTCGCACCTGTGCGCTTGAACAACGGGAATCGGCTTCGAGAAGTCATTTCCATGGACGTCGTAGAATGAACCCCAGATCTTACAGACGCCTGTAATACTCATAAGACCCAACCATCTAAACTATCCGCCTATGCAATATTCTCAATAAAACACGGCATTCAGACAGAGGGTGAGGTGCTAGGGGACTTAACCTACTCGTTATAAGCAGAATGCGGATGCGCCCCCCAGGGGCCGTAGCTAGAGAGCGCCATAGTCGCTTACGACTTTCCCTCTCTAACCCCTCCCCAATCCTCCCCGAGACCATCTCTCGACGAAGCACAGAGACCAAACAGTAATGGAATTTTCTAAACACGTTCTTTCAACTTTGACAGAACTATAGGATGGAAAAAGAGTACGAGAGCGTTTGGGGATCAGATGGGGAGAATGTAGACGAAAACTAGGCCAGGTCATAGAGAGAGTCAGGAGTTCATACAATTCCAGAAACGTATCATAGAATGGCACATCGCAGGGACCGTCCCGATAATTCCCGGCAATGTAGGTAGTGAGTGGCATGCGCTCTCTGAACTGTGTTGCAGATGATAATCCGCTCAACCCCTTCACCCCCCCCTTCCCTTAACCCAACTAGGCCGGGCGTTCCTCAACAGCCGTATCATAAGGAGTAAGGGGCCAACGATTTCCGTAATGAACGGTCAGAAGCACCTGCGATTGGAGCCCAATTAGTACGCAGACAGATGGTTACTGTCAAAGCAATCGCCTATTATGGTTGTAGTTTAGCAAGCATCATAATTCTCCCCCAGGTGTGGTGTGGTCGGGTCAACAATAGAAGTATGGTGAATACGACGTTCGTGACTGATGCCTCAGGGAACTTCAGGTGGCCTCTCGCAGCCCCCGGTGGCCTGGATCCTGGTCTGACAGTCTCTTTAATTCAGCCCCTGACAGCCGACATGTTGAAGGAAGGTTCCATCGCAGAGGCCTACGATATCCCTAGCACCCCTCCGAACTCCCACTCTCTGCCCCCTCGCTCGCTTTTCATCTCCTCGAGCATTGGATGCCATCAAAGGAAGCACACGTTTAGCCTGCACATAATTGTGTCTGTAGTTTGTATGAAGACAGTGTTGGTCACACAACTTGTATGTGGCCTTTTAGTGGCCCTCCGCCACACGTTCCAAGCTCACTGAAGACTGTAGAGATTATGTTAGCTTAAAGAGGAGGCGAGGGGATTCAGGTTATCTAGATGTTTTCTGCGGAACCCTTTGGCACGTTATGTGATGGCGGATTTTTCTTCTTGGCTACGCTTACATCGCTCATTGGTACGACCCAGGGCATGATTTCCTGTTGGCAGTGTCTTCACTCTCACTCGCGGACGTAGGAGCTACCGATGGTGCTTGACTACGCCGTATTCAGTCTCGAAAGTAGGCCCGAAATAAGGCACTTGTGTTAGCATACCGGTCTGCAATGCCTCTAGCGCTAGCCCGATGTAGATTGATGTCCTTAATATTAGTGGGAGGCGCCGTCAAGGCCATGTATTTGAAACTGAGGCATGTTAGCATGGCTGGCGGGCGACCTGCTCTTTGGGCGTAGAAACCTCAGCCAGCCAACCACTGATTACCGGCGCCTTGTAGTATGTCAAGGAGCAAAGCAGCCGGGATAACGTGCTAACTTTATCTTCCTATCTTGATATCGATCAACTGCCGATCTAGGCTCCCTTATCATATCCAGCTGTCATCTATAGTAGCCAACCATTCATATCATTCGTAGACAATCCCATCATACCTTAGGCCACTCATGATATTACTGGGGTGGAGAGAGGGGGTGTTTGTGCACAACTGACCGGGACCATGTCTAGCTTTGATACCGCGCCCAGGAGTAGCTGAACCTTTTAAAAAGGCGCATTATTCTTCCACCGGTTTCTTTCTTTCTTGTCTATTGTAGGATCGGATGATCTTTCTTGTTGGCTTTTCTGGTACCACCAATCTGCCGTTGATTTCGCCTCGAATATTATAGGTATCTGGTACTCCGATGACCCTGATCCTCGGTTGCCGGGACAGCTTTTGGTTAGGCAAGGCTTCCGACTATGGATGAATACAGCCGCAGTTTTCTTCTACCCAGGGAGGTCGGCCGCGCCCGACGATGGCCTATGAGGCTCATAGTCTTCTCTCACGACATAAATAACCCATAATTCCACTCGACCATGGCCTCCCCTCAAGGACAGCGAACAGGCCATACCACCTTCGTGGAAGCATGTCAGACATGGAAGAACACCGCCGCAGGTTTGGGCATATGTCTACTAGCACCGATCGCCCCAACAGCAACAACCAATACCCTAGAGCGCCTGCCGATACCTACACCGTTCAAGAATCCACAAGTAGGGGTCCTCAGCCTTCGCCCGACGAAACGATGTATCTTTACCTCCCGTATCCGTCTAGCAGCTTTCCCGGCTTGGACACAGACAGGGAAACACGACCATGGCAGCGTGCAACCACCGAGGGCGTTGACGATATCCTGTACCCGCACCAAACTCACGCGTCTTCGGACAGCGGCCCTATGTCCACGGCCCCAATATCCCGAAATGAAGTTTCCAGCGTTAGGTTACCAGATCATATCAATCCTACGAACACGACACCGACCGCTCATGGTGGATCAAAATCTGGTTGGCCAATAATTGCGGAAACGTTGACGTATAGTCCCGGTAACTGGCAGAGCCAACTGGATGAGCTTGGACAGGAGCAGGACCCATCGTGGGCAGCTAACGACGGGCAACGAACAAGATCAATCGATTCCAACAACTCCTTATATTCGCGGGGGTGGTCTACTGTGAGCAACGTCGGATCTGCCGTGTAAGTCTGCATATTACACCGGGAGATGGCATTGGCTGATTCTTTGAAGGGACCCCGTTGGGAATGCCACCCAGTATGATAAGACGAGCCGATTTCAACAGGAGCGTGTTAATGATGGAGAGAATGGGTGGGCCAACAATGGAACTAATGATGCTATCAATGACTATCTACAGGACCACCATGGGCCATGGACCGCCGGATGGCTCGATGAGAGGCATCGTTGGGTCAGCAACGCGTTGTTTGGAAATGGCGCTTGGTCAATAAATAACGAAGAGGAGAAAGAGTACCCTATCTTGCCCTCTCGGGAGTAGTTTGTACTTCACAAGGCCTCCGATTGTTAGTAGTTAAACTAGGGAGTTGCGTGATGGAGAAGCCTCATCCACATCCGATGCCATACCTAGGTTCATTGAGTGGCAGCATTCCGTTCGCTTGGCTTAAACCCAAGAATTACGGCTTATACCTACATGCCTACACAGTTAGGTAGTAAATCTTGAGAATCGACAAAACAATTGATCCTATGTGGGCTTGCCCGACCTCTAGAGAAGCAGAATTCTTAAAATGTGCGTTTCTGTTACCCCTGAGATATTGACCCCATAGATCTTAGCCACACCATTTTGCTGTCGAGAAGCTTTCCAAGCACAGCCACATTCAAAAGTGCTGCATCTTATCTTATCAAGCGTATGCATTTAACCAGTTGGAAATAATGGACATATGGATATGTAACTGAGCGAGGGCTCTCGTACCTCTACAAATGAGACTATGCTTTATTCCGTCCCTCCCTCAACGGCCACAAACAAAACATACTACACTTACCTTACAGATTCATTCGCACACCATCCCGCAACACCCTCCCCCGCAGCGATGGGGCCTAAGCGCTTAGCCGATAACGAGGGCGCAAGCGGATCCAAGCGGCGTCGCAGCCAGAAGCACTCGGGATCCGCGAAAGGGGTAGCACCCGTTGACCCAACCTATGGTCAGCGTGGTGTGTTCGGCAATCTCGAGTATGCCACCACCGTCCCGAGCGGCGACAACGACTTAGACTGTGAAGATGATGCCGAAGCACTAGCATACCTCAGATCTGTGCGGTAAGGATAGCCGTCTAGAATTCCTATTTCCGTTATCAGACATGCAAAGCTAAGCATACAGCCTCGGGTTTGTTTAGGCGAAGAATACTGATATGGTGAGTATAGAGAGCAAGCGTCTACGATCCCCCACATTCTCGTTGCGCATAAGGCTGGCCCTCAGTTGCCTCTTGAGGCGATTGTACCGCCTTCCGGTGGCCGTACTGACCAAAAACGCGTCGAAGAAGAGGAAGACGGGGCCGGGATATCCATTGACCGGAGCGTCTACCAAGACGGGAAAGGCGACTTTAGGGGATACTATCATGATGGGGCGTATGTCGCTTACCCGTCCGACCATTTCAACGAGAATATAGAAGAGGAGGAGGAAGTCGATGACGGCTACGACCAGAAATACGGTGACGTGGAAGAAGGGTACGAGTATCCCACGCGAGAATACGAAGACGAATCTAGCTCTGAGTCTAGCGAAGGCGGCCCGCGCAATAGTAGCTCGGATGAGATACGCGACGCATACTTTGCATCTCTCGCAAAGCAGTTTTTAGCTCTCCGAAATATCCTGCGGACAATTCCTCCAGACGACGTACTACTATGCCTCCCCAAGTCAAATACGACTGAAGTCGGCGATTTCGGTCGCCTATCCGACACGTTTTCCAAGTGGTCTGGCCGGCTCAGAGGCACGGACCCGTTGCCCGCACAGATTGCCGGTATGCATAAGGACGGCGTCATCCGGCTGCTGCGCATCCTTCTCGGGGGCAAGTTCCTTCGCAAAAGACAAGAGCTCCGCGAACGCACCAGCAGGTGGATATGGGCCTTGCTCGCACGCCTACCCGACAAAGGCGAGCTCGACTACCAAGAGATCGGCTGGGTCCGCGAACTTGGCAAGAGAGCGGTGCTTATGATGGTTAGCTTGGCCGAGATGGAGGTCCTTCGAGAGCATTGCGACGTAGAAGATGACAGCGCCGGTACCCAGGATGGCGAAGTCGATGTCGATGAGGGGATCACCGAAGACCTCAGTGCGGATGAATTTTACGGCGAAGATTACTCTGAGGACGACGCAGACAGCGGCGATGCTGTCGCCCGGGATTTTAGGCAAGTCCAAGACGATAAAGTTGTCGAGGCCAACACTTCCGCCAGTGTCCTCGCCACCAAATCTGATACTATATGTAGAGGTGATGGCGACCTAGCTGATGGTAAGGTTGACAGAGCCGAAGCCGAGGCGGTTACCAACGTCCCAACCCTAGGGGGCGCGACAGAGGAAGCGTCAGATGTTGAAATGCAGATCGACTCAGACGAGGAAGTGGACGGGGAAGTATCCGACACACCCCAACAGCGGCCAGAGTCGGCAACTGACGTAGAGACGGCCAAGGCTCGCCTCTTCAGAGAACTCGACAGCGTCGATAATGATGTCGTTATAGATATAGAAGTTGCACCGTCCGCCCTCGAGGCCAAAAACTCTTCAAGCCATCCTTCCCCCGAACAACAGAAGAAGCAGTCCACTAGCCTTCCTTCGGCAACAGAAGGCGAAGAAGACATACAGGAAAAGAAGGAAAGCCTCCACAGGGCCAGGATCAACGAGCGGGCCACCCTGAACATGATCCTCACTGTAGCCGGTGAGTTCTATGGACAGAGGGACCTTCTCGAGTTCCGAGATCCGTTCGGGGGCCTTGGGACCGAGTAGGTACCCCGAAATTGCATCGCGTGCGCCTGTGTGTATGACACACATGTGCTCCTACGGATACTTTGATGCAATACAAGATTACTAGGCTTCTTGTTTCCCTAACATCCTGATACTGCCTCCGCGGTATAGGCCGGATATTACAATGCGCACGCGCGGCACAGATGGTAGGACAATCCCGGAGACGATTATATGAGAAGCAACTGCATTACTGTAAGCAGTTCGCTGCCTAGGATAGATTGACAGTGTTATTAATTGCAAGAGAACACCCGTACTCTCCTTGGAGAACGCTCGTCGTACTTGAAGCCTCCATTCCCCAGTTATCAACAACTAGGGAGGAAATGATGTTAATCTCGTAATCCCCTATTCACACTGCCTTACACAGGAGACTCATGATACTAATATAAATATACCTGCCTCCCATTCGGCATCCGTACGTGAAATGTGCAATCCAAAAGCGATCCCAGCCCAAACAGCCGCCGCTTGTTGTGGTATAAGAAACAAATGCGGCGACGCTTCGCATGATACGCAACGATAACAAAATACAGCCCAACTCCCCGACGCCAATCATGCTGTCCCTCGTCACGAAAAGCAAGTTCCCGCGGGCGCCGCCGACTTGCCGCCCCTATCGCTCCCACGTTCGTTGTTCCGCGCTCCGCCACGCCCGCGCTCAGACATCGCTCATCTCGACCTCCCAGGCGCCGCCGTCGCGGTACTCGAGCTCGGCGGCGCGGTCGAGGAAGTCGGCCTCGTCGAAGTCGCCGTCGGCGTCGACGACCATCATCACGTTCTCCTGGTCGAAGCGGGACGGCTTGCCGCCCGTCCGCCTCAGCTTGGCCCTCGGCACTGCGATGGCGCGGGGGCCGGTGCTAGCGTTGTTGTTGTTGTTGCTGTTGTTGCTGTTGTCGCTGTTGCCGTTGCCCGCCCAGCCCGCGGGCGTCAGGCTGCGCGGGCTGACCTCGCCGTCGAAGTCGACGAAGCGCGGAGCCGCCGCTAGGTTGAGGCTGGGCCGGTAGCGCTGCGGGGCCGCCGCGTCGCCGTCCTCGTCCTCGGCGAAACCCCGCTTGCGGGTGCTCCTGGCGCCGCCGTCGCGGGGGAGGTCCGAGCCCGTGCTAGCCACCGACTCCTGGCTGCTCGTCAGGCCGGGGACGTCGTCGTCGTCCTGCATGTGGTTGTCGTCGAGTGGGAGGTCGTTGATGCTGAGGATCGGCTGGTACGGGTAGCCGTTGCCCCCGTCGTGTTCGGGCTGCGTGCCCAGACCGCCCACCTTGTGGATTCCGCAGAAGGGGAGGAGCTCCCGCCGCGGCGCCGAGACGGCGTTGGCGCGGGACCGACCTTCGCCCATTCCCGCAGCCGACGCCGACGTTATCGGGTTGCCGCTGCCAGGGGCGTTTTGGTTGTTATTCCGGCCGTGGCCCTCGTCCCAGAGCGCGAAGGCGCTGTAGCTGCCCGTCTTGTAACCTTCGGGGACGGACTTGCGCACGCGCATGCCCACGGACAAGAGATTCGCTTGCACGGATGCGGACAGGACCGGAGGCAAAACAGTAGTGGAATCGGATTGCGTTCGGAGAGAAGCGTTGTTGAGATGAAAGGAAGACGGGGAGGAAGAGGAGGAGTTGTTGCTGAAGAAAGAGGTGATTTGCCGCTGGGCAGGGTCGCTTGCGGCGCCGGCAAATTGGCGCTTCGTCCGTGGCGCCGACATGGCTCGAGGCTTGGATGGATGGGATCGACCTTGTAACGTGTGGGATGTGACACGGCCCACTCGACGCAGTGAGTGATGCACCAGGTGGTCACAGACCTCTCTAGCTCTGGCTCTATTTCCGCGACGGAGATGGAGTTGATGGCGCTGATCAATCGGGGCAGCGGGAGCGGAGTAAGCATCGAGCAGCTGCCCGATCAGCTGCACGTCAACCTGCAGGAGGACGGGTCGGGGAAATGGGATGATTAGGTAGGGCGCAAAACCGGCAGCAAAACCTGCGATGATCCGAAGACGCCGTAGGAGAGACGGCAGGATAGAAAAGTTGGTAGGCTGAAGCACGGTGGGTTCGGGACCGTCTTGATGTAATTGCCAGTCTAATAGCAGTGTCAGGTTGGGTTGGGGCGGGTGGAAAGGAGAGAGGGAGGTTCGAAACGACAGCCGGAAAGGAGGCGAAGCGGAGGAAGAGAAGGAGGCTGGGTGTGTGTGGACTGATCTATGACGATTGGGGGCCGGGGGGGAAGCTTAAAAGTGGGGGGAGGAGAGAGCAGCAGAGGTGGAGCAACGCGTAAGTGTATATCTCCCTCTTCCCACACGTCGCGACGCGACGCGACGCGCTGCGCTGCCCCTTGGCGTTACCAGACCCCCCTTTTCGGAAGGGTCCACATTTGCTCGTTGTCGCGGAATCGCATTGCTACCTGTCTCGTGGAACCCGCTCTCGCAGATTCAGGTACCGGCGGCGGGCAGGTCAGGTAACTTGATGACGCTAACACGCACACGCACAGGATTAGGTAGGTAGGTAAATGTGCACATATGCCCATACGCACCTAGATACCTCTAGCTATAGGTATGGTACCTAGAGCGCATGTAGATATAAACGCAATCACATCTTAGATCGGTCCTACATCATCCTCAGACTCTCTCTAACTTCCTCCCTAGGTACCACACCACATCGCCGCTTCAGTCCGGCTGTGCCACTGCAATTCTTTCTTTGACATTACACCTTTAGTGTCGTGCGTAAATACCTAACCTACACACTCTGCCTGTTGACCCGCCCTCAGGCGGGTATAAGTAGGCAAACAAGAGGATAGCGGAGAAGGTGGATGGGGCGCGCAGTGCCCGTATCAGAACCGCGTCAAGTCGGCCTAGCGCAAGAGGGGCGTCTGTCCCGACGACTCCCAGCCCACGTCGTGCGCGGCGACCTCCGTCGCCGGACACGGCTGGAACGGAAAGCAGTCAGGTTCGCAGACGGTACCTTCGGGCGGAATCTCTCCCGTCGCGAAGTACCTGGCCAGGTATCCGTCGCGGCACGTCCCCGGCGTCCCCAGCGTCCCGTGTCCCATGCTGTTCTGCACCAACACCCGCGACCCGGTGTGCTTCTCGGACATGGCCCACGCGCCCGTCTGCGGCGTCAGAGGGTCTAGGGCACTCGTTACAAAGAGTAGCGGCGCCGCCGGAACCCCATATATCGGCGTGCTGTCCGCGGCGTCTGTTCGCCACGGCCCGCCGAAGTTGTATGCCGCCCGCACTCTCCAGGACAGACACCAAAATCGCCTCTCCGACCACTGGCCCCCGAAATCCTTCGATTGGTTCTTGAGCTGCCCTATGTACACCTCGAACTCGTCGAGGCTCATCGACTGCTGGATCCCGTCACCGCACATGATGGCGGCGAGGGCCTCGTCCAACCAGGTGTATCGGCGGGTCTGAGAGGGCGAGGGCGACGACGATGGGCAGATATCTTGGGCGCGCGGTGTGCCCACGGTTGCGTACAGCGCGGTGAAGTTCCCGGCCATGGCCTCGGCAATGGTCTTAGCGACAGTTGGAAAGCCGGTTAGCGGCGCACAGGCCCCGACGAGGATAGCGGCGGTGACATCATTCCGCGAGAGAAACCCCACGCCGTTGTTGCCGTTGCTGCTCGACTCAACGTACGATACCGATTGCTCGTCGAGATCATCGAGGAAGGCTTCCACGCGAGCTTTAATGCTGCCCGGGCCCGTGTCCTCCGGCTCGAAGAGCGGGCAAGTCTCGCCACCGTCGAAGCATGTCTCCCACAGTCGCTCGTACAGTATTTGCGCCTCGTTGAGGTTGGTGAGAAATGTCTGCGTGGTTACAGGGTAGGAAATCGTTAGCGGTGTGCGATAGTCACCGCGAGACGCTGCAAGTTACGCCGTGGGTGATGGCGGGGAAATTACGCATATAGAAACGAAATTTGTGGATGAGGGAAATAGGTGCTTACGGCCGCGTAGTAATCCTCGACATTCCCGACAGCCTCAAGGACCATGCGCCCAATACGACCAGGGAACATGGACGCGAAGTAGTTACCCAGTATGGACCCGTACGAGAAACCCCAGTACTGAATCCGGGGGGTGGTATCGACGCCCACGGGCCTAGGCTGAGGCCGCGGCCTCCCGCGATACTGCCCGGCTGCCGCCTCGCCCCGCTTCTTCTCGATTTCTTCCACAATCTCAACCATGTCCCTCGCCACGCTAGCCGTCGAGAAGTAGGCCCGCACGTTTCTGTGCCCTGGTATCACGCCCTCTTCCGCGCAACGCTTCCCATACGCACCAAAGAGCCCGGCTTGGCGATCGAGGACGAAACGTCCAGCGTCAAGGGGACCCACAGCACGTCGTTCGAGGGCTGCGATGGCGCGGGCGAATTCGTCACCGCCGAAACAATCGGCGCTAGGAGTCGTCTGACCGACGCCACGCGGGTCGAAGGACATGATCTCATAGTTCCGGGAGATATCGCTGCTGTTGCTGTCCCCGCCACTGGCGCTGGCTTGAAGTATAGCACCGTTCTCCAGGAGAAACTCGACGCCGGATCTCCCGGGCCCGCCCGGGTTCACGATGATGGTACCACCGAAGGATGGGTCTGTCTCATCCACGACGGCAGGACGCACGATAATAGCGATTGTGGCGTAGACACCGAGATGACGGGAATTCCAGTCGAGGGGCACTATAAGCTTAGCGCAGCGGTGGTTGTCGTAACAATCGGTGTAGTTGAGAGATCTGGAGGGACGGACGGTGCCCCAGTCGAAATCCGTGACTTGAGTCTGGGCCAAGGTTGAGCAGGGGCTGAGAGCGGCCAGCACGCTGCCTAAAACTGCAAGTTTCCTAGCCATAACGGCGGGCTCTAGGGATCGCCCTGCCCTATACTAGATAGAGTGGGAATCTAGAGATTGCAATTAGGGTATTAGAGTATAGACAATTTGGCGGGCTAGATGGGTGTCTGATATCAAGGGGTAGAAGAGGTTGGAGTCGACGGTAGTGGCGAATTCGCGAGCCCAGCTAGACCCAACCCCTAGTTATATGTACTTATCTAGCTATTCATCGACAGTAAGCATGCACACTCCAAGACACATACGATTACACGTAGACGTACGCTTACACTTGCAGATACGTATACACATGTGGGTACACGTACACAGACTTATGCAAACGGGTGAGCGGCCGGCCGTCCAATAACTGCAGTACGCCGAGCTATCCCGTAGGCCAGGCACCTCGAGTGCCCTTTGACGGCAAATCCAGTATCAACGTAGCGTAACGGGACGGGCAACTACGGGATACTACGGCGGCGGTTGCAAACTCCCTTCGTATTGCAACTTTGCCGAGATTATCAGGGCCTATTCGGGTCAGGTCGAGGCACGAAGGCGAGGTAGTGTTGCGGGGTCGCCGGGCTGGAGAGCAGCAGCAGCAGCAGATCCCCTCACCTCTTGCTTCTTCCCGTCTGCGGTGTGACGGGCTCAACAGGGCTCGATTCGACTAGACTCAGGCCGTCCCGCGGAATCAAGGGAGGGCGTCAACCGCGGGCGGTATGGGTCTGCACTGGCGCCGGGCGAAAATGTGAAACAAGGACGGGCGGTTCGTGACGTCAAAGAGCAGATCCCAGTTGGAGATGAACGACGCCACGACCAGGGCAGGAATACGCCTGGGCCAATCACCGATTCCTCGTTGGCCTTCAGATTGCCCAATCCGGCAGGAGGCGGCCTCCACTCGAGTTGGAGGCATCAGGTGTTGTAAACTCGACCATGCTATACTATACTCTACTGTGCTGTGTTATACAATTACCACAGCACGACTATAGATATAACTGTGCTAGAGGTTCTGGGGTCCATGTAGGCACGGCTTCTTATTGGAATTCTCGACCGAATTTTTGCTCATTTGTTTCCCCCTTCCCATTCCCATTTCTTTTCGCGGAGGGGGAAGGGGACGGGATGGGACAGGACGGGGAGGGGGAAGGGGCCGAAGGATATGAAGTGACTGGGTTCCTCAGCCCATAAGTCTGCTACCCCGGGTGACAAAGCATGCTCTTCGCGCTTCCGATTCCTGCTTGTACGCCCTGCGCTGACCCGTGGCTGCGGATCGTCGAAGACCGGTCTGAGCCTCTAAGCAGCCAGTCCCGCGAGGAAACACGTCATCTCACTCCCGCGTCTACGATGAGAAGGGGGTCTCCGCATTGCAGGCATCCTGTCCGCACATACACACACAGGCTATAGGCCGAGCTTGTTTTGACTAGATAGCCCTTCGACCAAAAGGGGAGGGGTGCTCTGCGAGACCCCTTTCTCCCATCTCCCTCGTATCACCCTTGCATGGCGGGGATTACGCAGACTCCCTTAGCTCCCGTTCCTTTCCTCCATATCACAGCGATCTAGATCGGACATGTGGTATTAGCCTGGGGTAGCATACCTCAAGGGTAACAAAGAGGCGAGCCTGCAAATGTTCTTTTCAGGTCGGTCTCCTCGGGGGGCCCACGCCTCCACTAGGTTCGGAAATCTCCCTCGGCGTAGGGAATCCTTCGGTGGGGACAATATCCGGTCAATCTAATACAGCCTAGGTATACGTATAGTAAAGCTGGCCGTGGTCATCAGTACTACCAGGTGAAGCCCGTTCAACCTTCCCCGCTCACACCGCCAATCTTAGCACGGGCAAAAAGCAAGTACGAAGGAATGCTGACGCCTCATAAGTTTCCGGTGAAGAGAGGCTGAACCGCTCGGTGTGATGATGGGAGTACTTAAACTGCAGGGTTGGGCCTTCTCGAAGCCCGGTCCGAGGCGAAACTTGACTCAACAGTAAAACATGGCCGCTACCGTCCTCGAATGTTGAGACAATACGCTGATTCACGGAAAAAGAAGCAATCGACAATCTAGATAAGGCATCAATCAGCTTCATTTAGGGGGGTGTAGCACGACGTCTATTTGGCCGCCCGGGTCTCAACACCGAAAACCGATCTAGATTGACACGAAGACTTTAATCTACATCTCGTCGCACGAGGCCTCGAAGAATCCCGATCAGATACGACTAGCATCGAGCAGGAATTCCCGTTTGCTCCCCGCGAGCCTGAACAACCTCGAGTCTCGGATACAGCCACCGCTATTTCATCAGACTCTTTGCACCCGCCGTCTATAACCCGGTACCACAAATTTTCAAGGGTAGGAATTCGTGGGTGACACATGAGTAATCATAATACTCTCCTTTTATACACTCCCAGCCGTTCAGATAGCTACAACCCACAAATATGTGGGCTACAATATCACCTTCGTGGGCATTCCAAGGAAACGATAGGCCAAGGATGCACCATTTTATCCCCATCAGCATATATTTTTCGGGATATCATAATATCTTACAGTTCTTTCTTCTTTGGGCTGGCCTTCTTCACCGAACCAGGCGGTGATTTCAGACCAGCAAACGCCAGCAGTGTAACTCCCAAGATGCCTAGAGCACCCGCGCCGTAGGCCACCTCTCTACCGGCCCACCAGTATATGCTGGTGAAAAGGACCGGGCCTAGGCCACGACCGAGCTGGCCCCAGCTTCGCAGCATGCCCAGCTTGCCACCCCGTTCGTCCTCGCTGGCCTCGAAACTGCTTAGCGTGTTAAGACCGCTGACCACTGTGGCCGACGTCGTCGCCAAGCACGTGGCGGCAAGGTAAAGCGACCCGACCGTGCTGATGCGCCCCAGCATGGCAAATGCGAGCAGGCAAGCACTCACACCGATCCGCACGGTCATGAGAGGGGGCAGGCGACGGGTAATGCCGCCCTGAAGGATCGAAGCCACCAGACCCACGTAACCAAGTAGTCGTCCGTTCTGAGCCGAGCTGTACTGGAAGAGGTCGTACGTCATAAATGGAAGGGAGAACTCCATTCCGGAGAAGAACAGGAGAAAGGCGAAATGTACAAAGTTCAGTAGAAAGTGGGAATTGGTGCGCACCGCCGCCTGAGGCTTGGCTGTCTTCTCGACTGCTAACTGTTTCTCTGTCTTATTCGGGAGGGTCTCGGGTAGCGCAAAGAATAGGTAGATCGTCTCAACTACGATCAAGAATAGAGACACGCCGGCGGCGGTCGCGAAAGGGTTGGCGGCGACAATGGAGATGGTGCTAAGGTATGCGCCGAGAGCCGGGCCGAAGGTGAAGGCGATCGAAAAGCACGCGCCGACGAGAGCCATAGTCGAACCTCGATTGCTCTCGTCCGAGATGTCGGTGGCAATGGCTGTCGCGAGCTGAACATTGCCCTCGGACAAGCCACCGACGATGCGCGATGCGAGGAACGTTCTAAAGTCGACAGCGACTACCCAGAGGAGGACGGACAGGATATTGCCAGCCATGCTGGCAAGAAGCGCGGTCCTCCTGCCATACTTGTCGGAGAGGTGGCCAATGACGGGGGACGCGATGGCCTGGAGCAGGGAGAACAAACTGCCCAGAGCGCCGCCGAGCAGAACGATATCGTATCTCGAATCGATAGGCTTCGCAAATGCCGACTTGTAAGCATTCAGACCGTCGAGGACCCGGGCGAGGAGCGTCGTGTGGGATTCCGGGCCGGCTTCACTATTGCGGTAGAACTCGAGCAGCTTTGGGAAGAGTGGTAGGATAAAGGTAAAAGAAATCTAGCAATGCTCATAGTTAGCTTGCGGATCCCACCCGGTGGTCCAGCGAGAGTTAAGCATACTAGATCCAAAAGTAGGGAGACGAAGATGACCTTGAGCACCTTCTTTCGGGTGCTCGGGTCGGCGGCAGCCATGCTGGGGATCTCCAGGGGTGCTTCCTCGTCGCAGCAGCGGCGGACCAGCCGGTCGATCTGAGGACGGGGAAAGGAGCGTCGTTGCAGGAGAAGAGGAGGTAGAAGTAGAAGCCGAAGTATCGGAGCTAGAGGGGGTTGGAACAGCGAGGCGAAAAGATAACCAAGTACGAAAAGAAGCTATACAGCTACCGAGCTGAACGGTGCCGAGTGCGACAGCAAATGAGGGAGAGGATGAAGATAAAGTTGAGGCGGACAAGGAACGATACGGGAGAACTGGCGATGTTTCGTACTTCGTAAAAGTTCCGAGAAACGAACCACCAGAAGCTGCACAGAGGAAGGGCGACGTAAACCGTAAGGTATCTCGTACCTTGGTACCTGACCAGGACTGTGCGCAAGCAGATGGAGGGATGTACCTTGTACGTACTACGGGGTATGCATGGATATACACGTTTATCCATTGGACGGAAATGCTTGGTACATCTTCACATGTATATACCTGTGCGTAGGACTGCGACCAATAGGGCCAGTATCTTCTGCGGGGCTACCAATAGGGTCACCTCACCACTACGAATCCGACGACTCGCTCTGTTCCCGAAGGGGTTTAGCGTGGTAGCCGTAACGTATGCTCGGAGACCTCCAGGTTACAGATGGACAGATACTAGGTACATACACGTACGTGTAGGTACCTACCTAAGGTAGGTAGGAGGTATTATGACGTGACAAGCGCCAACGCGACAGTGGCCCCATGGGCCAGTCTTCGCCGGTAACGAATCTGGGACCTTGGCTTAGGTACCTAGGTAACTAAACCACTGTTGCCGTCGAGAACGTGAGCGTCAACACTTTCCCCGCGGGTAAAAAAAAAAAAACCCCAAAAAAACAAAGTAATAACAAGAATAAATAGGGTGGAATACAACTGGTAAGGAGGCCGATCTTTTCGCGGATATAGGTAAATAAACACCTACGGATCGGGCCCTGAGATGGCCACCTACGTTGAAGGGAGCAGTTCCGAACCTGCCTACGGGTAACCAACTTCACAAGATAGGGGTATACAGGTTACCTAAGAGGTACCTAGGTAACATATAGGTATTACGCCCTCTGCGGTAATGCATTAGGAGGTAGGAAGGTGCCTAACGTCATCGTGAGGTTCTTGCGTAGGTAACTCGGGAATCCCACCCGGATCGACACCTTCTCGTGATCAACATCAGCCCTCATAACTGAGGATGCTAGGCGCATCGCAACCACGCCTGCACACACACGCGCACGCGCACCACACTCTATGCCTAACCCTAGTGCATGACAGAGATAATAGATATGCACATCGGTCTCGTTGGATCGAACAGCCCCAGCCTGTTCAGAGGCGACAGCTATCCCCCTGAGGCCGGAGAGGCAGTTGGCGACGTGATACTGCCGTCTTAAGGCCTACCGCGAGCGAAAAGAGGATAAGGCGATCATGTGTAGTCGATGCCCAGTTGCAACGACGAGCCTAGGGTTGCCAACTCAGCCGGACAGGATAAAAGGTAGGTAAGCGTTGAATACCTACCATATCCACCGGGCCTCTACCCGCGTTGCTGTGTCACTTTGCCAACAGAATTTTCCGGTTCCGATCAGACGTCGGCCGATCGAGTCGAGAGCAAAGACGAAGTTGCCTATCCGCAGTGCCGTTGGCGTCCCCGGATAGACTGGGCAGGATGGAATGGGTTTTTACACCCGAGGGCACCCGGCTCAGTAATATATAACTATCCTCCGGATAAGACTGACCGACTGACTTTTCTTGACACGCTGGACATGGCCGATCCTCTCTCAGCCTTGCCGTGATGGAGCAAGATTTCCCATTACCTACAGCTGCTAATGGACTGGCACAGGCGACCGGTCCCCCTGCTTTATTCGTCGAGGCTGAGGGAGCATCTACCCGCGAGTGTTGTAATATGTCGGCTACGGTGGCACCTTGGTCCACAGCGGCCGGTCTACCTTTATGGAACCATGGGTTCCGACGAGCTCCATAGGTCTGCGACCTGCATCCAACGCCGGATATTCGGTGTTGAATTGCTGCTTAGCGAGAGAGAACTCGGGTGTACCGTGTCAAAAAGTCCTACATACCTAGGTATATCGCCCGCGCAGATCCTAACTGATACCGTCAGCTACCCTGCCCCGAACTACGATCTCTGTACCAGCCTCTCCCGAAATACGGTGGTCTACGCTAAAGCTTGGTACCCTCTGAGCATAACACGGCCCTCACGCCCACATCTCCGCGCGGGCCTTTCCGCTCCTAGCAAGACCTATGGGCGGGCCCTTGCTGCATCGTTATGGAATCATGCGACTTAGTATCAGAGCAGCTTCAATTTTGGGTCTATGCAATACGGAGCAGTGTATTATTCGACCACGCATCGGCGAGTGCTGCCCCACGGGGCTCGAGGCGATTCTCGCAGGGCCTCGGCTCGGCCCCACATACCTACATCTTGCTGAAGAGAAAATCTGGAAGAGTCATCCTGAAATGTGGTGAAGGACCGCATCTATCTCTAAGTCCTATGAGTAGGCTATTATTGCAGTGGTAACTAAGACTGGAGGGGACGAATCTCAGATCATTCCAAGTCAACCGCGGTGTTCACGTTGGAGGTTGACAACTAGCAACGGTGGCCACGTCATGGGAAAACTGGCCGAATGGGCATTCGTGAAGACTGTGCAGTTGATCGATTTGAGTCTTTCCCTGGGCAATCGGATGAATTGGAGAGGCTATGTTATAGGCTATTAGGGTCATTGAGGAGCCGGTTGTGTCCGTGTTGATGATTTCTCGCCCGTAGTGAGACTCGCTGACGTTTGATACCTAGATGGACAAGCTCACGCCGATCCGAGCCAATATTCAGAAGCAAGTGAGAGATGGCGCTAATTTTCTACCGGAGGGCTACGGATAGCCGTTTACGATACCCTTCCGCTCAGCCACAGGCCCCACACATTGGGTTGTAGACAGGCCCATTATGCCGTGAAGCGTCCGAGAGAGGGTCCTAACCCAGAGCAATTGATGGAGATATTGGGTCGATTTCTCCGGTCCCTCCACCTCTGGCAACAACGGAGTAAGTAAGCGGGAAGGAAGACACCGTTGGTCTCGTATCGCGGCTTAGCCATGCAGAGAGAGACGGGCAAATAGGTAGCGATGCAACGAAGTGTCTTTCCAGATCTCGTAACGGCACAATCCCAGAGCGCAGGTTCACGGCTGCCCAGCTGCCTGTCTAGGCAGGCTTCTAGAAATGCAAGGCCATCTTCGTCAGCCAAGGGCAATTCCATCAGGGTCACCGATCAACTGCCGCTAGCGCACCCCGAACGCATGGAGACCAGCCTGCATCGTGAGACTGGACGTTGCTCCATACCTATGTATTCATACATACGCTACCTACCTATATATTGCTATAAATGGCATGTCTCGTAACCAGTCACACGCACCGCGGGACCAACAAAGGGTCCATCCGCTGCGCCAAATACGAGCCAGATCGGCAGTCCCAACTCCCCACTCGACGCCTCCAAGGAAGTAAACACGAGAAACTGGTGGCCCGCCCGAGTTGCACGAGACACTATCATCCGCAGTAGTAAATTCTCTGCCGCCCTTTGCCCGTCTCGTCGCGACGCCGGCCGTAAAATGTAGTAGCGTACCGCGCACACACACGGCAACAGCACGGTCTAGCTCTCACCCCATCCCTCGTCGCCTCGTCGATGGACATGGATGGGCCTAGCTCCCGGCTCGAGACCTGGGCCTTCAAGTTAATCGGCCGTCGGCCGGCTTTAGCGAGGTTCCACAGCGCCCGCAGGAATGCCACCACGTATGATGGCTTCTTTCACGGTCGTACGTAACGTTCACTGGGCTGGGTTGCATGAAAGGTAGCGGATGACACAAGATACGAGGTCGGCAGAGAGAGCCATCACCATCCCTCGGCACAGGGAGGATAGACAGATTATGAGAAACATGTATCGTGCCTGTATTTAAGGGAGGCATCTCCTCGCCTTCCCATAATCATACTTGCATCATCGTCAACGACGGCAACTGCAACAGCAACCGTAACAGCAACCGCAACAGCAACCGCAACAGCAACAGCATCTGCACCTTCTATACTAATATCTTCCATATTAATATCTTCTAATCACTCTCCTCCTCACGTCTTACCTCGTGCCCCGAAGCTTCACTCGTCCTCGCAAGCGGCTCAGACAATACAGCAGCAAAAATGCAGTTCACCAAGCTCATCCAGCTCCTCTCTCTCGTCGCCGCGTCGTCGGCTGTCACAGGTACGGAAGCAAAGAAAACAATGCCCTCAGACAAGGGTCGACCGCCAACCGTCCCCATTTTTCCCAACCCCGCCCCAGCTGTAGACATTCCACAGGGAAGACTACGAAGCCAAGCTTCGCAGCGGCGCAGTCGGCCTAGCTAACACACCTCGGCAGTCTCCTACGACACGGGTTACGATGACGATTCGCGTTCTCTGACCGCCGTCGCCTGCTCCGACGGGCAGAACGGGCTCATCTCGCGCTTCGGCTGGCAGACTCAGGGCGATATCCCGAGCCTGTACCTCGGTGCGGCGGACGCGATCGGTGGCTGGAACTCGCCTGCTGTACGTTTTCCCCCTCTCGTCTCTTCCTCTCCTTCTCTCTCTCTTCGCCACCACCTTGCTGACGTAAATGGACAGTGCGGCACCTGCTGGGAGCTCTCGTTCGGCGGGCGGACGATCAACGTCCTGGCCATCGACCATGCCGGCGCCGGCTTCAACATCGCGCTCGACGGCCTGAACGCCCTGACTAATGGCCAGGGCGTCGCCCTCGGCCGCATCGAAGCCAGCGCGCGCCAGGTCTCAACCAGCGCCTGCGGCATCTAAACCCCACACACTCTCTCTCCCTCTTTCTCTCTTCTCTTGTTCGGTTTCTCTCCAATCGGCTGCATTTTTATCCTCTTAGGGCAAGAAAAAGATTAGAAAGACATCCCTCTCTACCCCCCTCCTCTCTCTCTCTCTATCTCTTCGCATACGCATCGACGCCGGGAGAGGAGGTGGGGAAAAAAAAAACACTATTTACGATACGACACGACGCGACGACGGCACAAGACGAGCGAGGTCGGGCTTCGCGGACTCGGATCGGCGGTCTGAAAGGACAACAACATCCCGGACGAACCCCGTCTTTCTCGCCTCCTTGCCATCCAGTATATATTCACACACACACAGACGCACATAAGCATACCTACAGCCTACCTACCTTACCTACTTGGGTGCGCACTTAATGTCCGTTCCTTAATGCACCTAGTCGGCATAATCACCACCAACCACCATCATCCTCTACCATTGGGACGGCGCAGACTATTTGCTTGTTTCTGGCACGCATAGGCGGGGGACATCCATTCATTTTCCACCTCGGAAGGGGGCGCGCGCACGGTACGGGAACGAATACCTAGAGGCAAGTGGGCGGCAGGCGGGACATGCATACACCTACTGCTGCTGCTGCTGCGGCTACTTTCTGTACTTAGGCATTACTTATACATATACATACTCTTCCAACCTGAAGATCTGAATGAGCCCTAGAAGTCGTCTGATCACTCACGAGACTGCGCGAGGCCGAGTGATAGACCCCAGGGTTACGGGTTTGATAAGCGCTTAGATTTGATCGTGACAGGTATTAACGTAAGAATTCCTAAAACGCACTATATAACTAGTAAAGAGATAGCGAGTGAGGGGGAAAGAAAAAGGGGAAGTAATTATTATAACTGTCCGGGGTCATTTCACTCCTCTTCTCCCTCCTCGATGCGGCGGCGGCGCCGGTAGTCTGCCGTTGCTCGGCCTCAAAAATCGACCCGGGAGAGAGACGACATAGCACAACCCTAGTCGACTCAACTCGAAACAACCATAGCACATTGTACCAGGCAGGACCAAGCAGAGAAAAAGAAAAAATCCGTATGAATGACCGCCTGGCCTTTTTTGCCTACCTCTCCTGCTCGTCGTCCTCTTCGTGTGTAAAGCGAGCGAATTCCTCCCCATCTCCGAATCCCTGGCTATGCAAATGACAAAGGGAACAAAAGGAAACCTCCCCCCCGCCCGAATTAATTATCATTTCCCTTCCGGCCTCGAAACCGATCCCTCTTCTGAGACTATTGCCAATCTGGGTTCAACTGTCAAGGTGGATGATGTGCTTGGTAAAGAATTCTCATAAGGATTTAAACGAAAAGTAAGAAGAGGGCATAGAAGGCTCAAGGGGGGGGGTATCGGGTATCAATCTAGACATCGTGGCAGAAAAACGCAAATGGTATAAAACGCGCACCTCCCCGTACATAACGTCAACTTTCCTCCCCGTATGCTTTGCCTGTCGTGGTGATAAAAGAACGCTGCCGGAAGACGAAACCCCTTCCGCATCCAGTTTCATTCCCGGATGGTCTGGCATAATAAGCCTCAGTCGTCAAAGAAAGAAGCGTCGTCAAATTCTTCGACCCGCGCGTCCGAATCGTATGCGCCGGGTCGCATCATGGGGGGAGTGACAGGTTGGCGTCGGTTGAGTTGCTGAGGCGGCGTGGTTGTTCCGGGCATTTTCTCGGCTTGCCGACTCGTTATTTCAGCACCCCGGGACCTGTTTGCAAATTGCTCAGCGGTGTATCTACGACCAGTGTTTCCGAAAGCGGTCGGCTGCGTCTGGTTCGAAATCGAAGGCGCATTTCTAACGCCAGAGGCCGGCGGGGTCATCAAGCCAGAGAGAACGCTGCCTTGAGATGGGGCACTCGGTTTCGTCGGTGTGGCATTCCTCCCTGGTGCCGGCGATGATGACCGGGTGCTAGAGAGATTGCTACGCGCAGGTTGGGTTGACTTCCGCCAGTTACCCCAAGCGGCAGCCAAAGGTCCGACTGCCTGAGCGACGCGAGGAGTAGCGGCTCCTCGAATCGTAGCCGCGATGTTCGGAAGGCTGATGGCCGATCCACCATTCATAGCGCGCTCTCGCTCTTGTTCCTCCATCTGGAGGTTGGCTTTCAGACGTATCGCGGCGTCCTTTACAGCATCTCTGTCAAGGCGCTCTGCGGATAAGGCGTTGATGATATCTTGAAGATCACCATGTCTCACGGCGAGAAGCTCGCGGAGCCAAGTGATTTCGTCATCTCGCTTCGATATCTTAGTAGCGGCGTCGGGATCGAGCTTCGTAACGGAGTGCTCAAGCTCCTCGATCCGCTGCTCGCGGGCCTGCAGCTGTTCCTGCAACACCATGATAGATTCGCGAAGGGCCTGAGGTGAAACCTTCTCGGGAAGTTGCATAGCCTCCGCAAGTTGCTTTGTTTGCGCCACGGGAGCAGGATGGGAAGATGGCCCGGGGATAACGATAGTCTTGGAGGCTTGCGCCGCTGCTTGGGCGGCCGCCTTCGCAGCTTCCTGGGCAATCTGTACCTTGTCCTCGAGGTGAGCAACCCTGTCTTGAAGATGTTCAGTCTTGGAAGTTGACAGGCTGAGCCTCTCCAAGAGGTTTTGTTCCATACGTTGGGCATCCTCGGCTGCATTGTTGATCTGTCGTTCATACCGAGCCTGGAGATCTTCCACTTCATTCTGGTGCTTACGGATCAGTTCACTGACCTCCCCACGTTTCGCGTTGTTGGCTTCTTCGAGCTCTATTCGTTTGGTGGTCTGTGACTCCTCAAGCATCATCTCGTGGTGTGCCTTCGCTGTGTCGGCATCCATTCTGACCTGGTCTAGCTGAGCCCTCAGCTTGTTGACCTCTTCCTCTAGTTCGATGCGTACATGGTTCATTTCGTTGTTGGCAGCTTCAAGTTCAGCTTGCGAAGCAGTTTGGGTCCGTTGAATTTCAGTAGCCGCCGAAGCCCTGGCCTCTTGGATCTCTCTCTGGTAGTGGAGAACACTCTGGTGAAGGGCGTGGTTATCGTTACGCATCTCCGATAGTACCGACTCGAGCCGCTTGCATTCACTAATAGCCCTGAAAGCCGCACGCTCACCGTTCTCCAGTCTTTCAATTTCGGTTTCGAGGCGTTCGCGCGTGCGGGCTTCAGCTTGAAGCTTGGCATCTAGCACTTCATGGCGCGCAATGAGAGCTTGCTCTTTCTTCGTCCGTCGAGCATTCTCCTCGGTGATTTCGCGCGCGGCATGGGCCATATCGTCTTGCAAGGAAACGAACTTGGCACGCCAATTTTCCCGGATCCGCTCGTTCTCTTCAAGTTGAACACCGATCGTGTCGATGAGCTTGTGTAGATGCTTGTTCTCGTTGTGAGTCTCGGCAAGATCATCCGCTTGTCGACTGGACAATTCCCTAGCACGCTCAGCTTCGGAACGCCAATGCCGAGCCTCCTGCCTCGCGTCACGCAGCTCAATTTCTGATATGTTGAGACGGTTCTTGAGCTCCGCCTGTGTCTGTTCGGCGTTGTTTTGGGCCGCTTCGAGAAGACCGACACGCATCGAGGTCTTTGTGGATGACTGCTCAAGGCTCTTAATCTTCTCATCACGTTCCTCAAGCACGGATCTTAGACGATCCTCCTCCTCAGCAGAGATCCTGAGGAGCCGCTGGATTTCTGAGAGTCTGTCTTCGGCTTCCCTGCGACCCAGAATCTCATTCTCGGTCTTGCTTTCCTGATGTCGCAACCTATCCTCAAGATCGTGGATCCTCTGGTCGAATACACTACGATTCATAATCTCAACCTCCACCTTGGTTTCTGCCTGCTCCAACTGTCGTCGAAGTTCAGCGGCACGATCTTCGGCACCACGTCTGACGGTAGTCTCGTGGTCAACCCGAGCCTCTTCAGCGCGGAGCCGCTCCTCAAGACCGTGGACTCTTGCGCGTTCGCCTTCCGTTCTATTCTCTTCGGCACGCAAGCGTTTTTCTAGTTCGAGTATTTGCGATTGCATCTCCGAAATCTTGGCATTGGCCTGGTAGTCGTCTTTGGCTATCGGTGGAGGGGGGGGCATAGAACGCTCAACTGCTTCTTCCACGACATTACGGATGTCTTCGCTGTGCAAACCTAATCGTAACGATTGACTGAGCTCTTCCTTCATCTGTTCCAGTGCCTTCATGACACTTAGATCCTCTCGGCTAGGATGTTCGGGCTCAAGCTGAGCAGTCTGGAGCGTGCGCATGCTCTGCTGCTGGTTGAGAGCATCCATAACGGCAATGCGAATTTGCTCCATCTTCTTATCTCTTCTCGGGCTCATCGATCGACGCACTGGCATTTCGTCATCCTCGTCATCCGCATCGCTCTCCCGAATCTCGGCCGAGATACTACGCCTGTCGCGTCGGCTAGAGGGCGCTCTGCGCGCCATATTGCCCAAGGCGTGTTGAATAGAGCTCAGAGCCTTCTCTAGGGGATCCAGCCTGGAAGCCAGGAGACTGTCAACTATCTCGTTAACATGACCATCGAAGTAGGCGACGCGTTGCTCAAGCTTGTCTTGTTCGCTAGCGCTAAACGTATCGTCCCATTCACTTCCTGGAAGACTATCTCCGACGTTGAGTCTGTGAACTGGGCCATCAAAAGACTGAGAAACGGCGCTATGTGGTGGGTCAACAAAGGGATCTTCGAGTTCGGTTGAGGGCCGGGGGGTTGTAGCCTGGTTGGACAGAGTGAGATACTGCCGAGGGCTCGGGGTCGGCACGTCACTCTGGAACGGAATTTGGGGCGTCAAATGAGTTGACGGGGAGTCGGTGATAGAATCGACCGGAACATTCCGTGTCGGGCTAGGTTGATGCCACTGGGGAGACTTCATAGTCCTCCTTACTCCCAAGGTCGGGTCCCGTCGGTTGAGGTGCTGCATGACAGCATCAATCTCTTCGAATGTGAGGTCATGAGTGGCGTCATTTTGAGGCTGAGTACTAGCTTCTGATGGTGGGCTAACCGGTAAGGGTTCATAGCTCTGTAGTTCCGATTCATCGACTGTTGGTTCATCCGCATGCGTCGCAGGGGATTCCGAAGCCTTATCGGAGACTGGGGATGGCGAGGCGGCAAACCGGGAGGCAGAGAGACCAGCAGACTTCGGGGGGGGTGATGGTGTGGTGGAGGCGAATCTCGATGCTAGTAAACCTTTAGAGACAGGAGGCGGCGACGCGAAGCGCGACAAGCCTAGCCCCTTCGCTGATGAGACGGGCGTGTGTTCTGCAGCCGAAGCGAATTCCTCAGAAACGAGCTCAGGCTCAGGCTGGGAGACGGGGTTAGTATCCGGTCCAGGTGTGGGGGAACCAGCACGATCGTCCTCCTGCTCGTCTGGCGACTCATTCGCCTCCGCAGGCTGTGACCGAAGACCAGGTTCAGCCAGAGCATCCACGGCAGTGTTACCACCAAATACGAAGCCGCCAGGTATAAATGGCCTGGCGGTGGCAGAAAGGCTCTTCTTATGCTCTTTCTTGAATAGGGGCTCTTCGTCTCCGAACGGCCTAGCGTTATTGAAGTCCTGAATTTCCTTCTCGCTACGGAATTCGAACGGCGTCCAAACAGACCCATCCTGGTCGGCGGCGGACGTCGCTGATGGACTGGTGGTCGCCTTTGTACCGTTTGATTCGGATTGGAATTTGCCGTCAGTGGATTCAGAGAGGGTAGTAGACGCAAACGTTGTATCGCCAGCGTGTGCATTCTCATCCTCATCGGCCTTTCCTTGGACGGACCGGCCTTCGCTACCGATGGTGTCGGCTGCGGAGGGGGTAGGCTCCGGAGCAGGGCTATACGACGGGGCCTGAAGCGCCGTCTCAAGCGCTGGCTCGGCGAACAACGGGATCTCTTCGCCATCCCCACTGCTCTCCTTAAATTGCTTCTTCGTACGAGTAGTATCCGTGGACCGATCTTCGCGGCGCTCGTCGACAAGAGTCTGTTCGGGGGCAGAAGCCTCCGGGCTAGATGGGCGCATGATGGGGATAGCCTTCGACTTCTTGGGCATGGCAAACTCGGATAGCGTAATATCAATATTACCGAAGATGGTGGCCGGGCGGTTCTCATTACTTTCGCTACCAGATGCCCCCGCACTTGTCACCGATGAAGTGAACGACTTGAGGGGCTGGAAAGCAGGAGCATCGGGATTGAATTTTGGACCAGATGCAGAGAAGCTAAATTCACCCTTGCGTGGTGAGAATGCCGGCGCAGAGACATTTATCTTCGCCTTCGGCAGCGACGACGTCGACGGCATGCTGATATGGCTAGAAGTCGTTGATTGCGCGTTCGGCGTGAATGACGAAGCCTGGAATGGGGGTGATTGAAAACCGGCTAGTTGACCGTTGCTATTGTTACTACCAAACACAAACTGACCCGGGGAGAAATTATTGGTAGGGTTAAATTTGAATTCGGCAGCTCCAGCATTAAGCTTGGAGAGCGAGGGCTTGCTTGCATGGCTCTGACGGTGTGACGACGACTTGCCCGGGCCCATCGAGACGGTGTCGGCCCACGGATTGCTCGCCGTAGAGAAAGATCGCTCATGTAACTGGTTCATCATATCAAAAGATTGGATAGGTGTGCCGAGATTGCTGGGGTTTGTCTCGATCTCATACGAGTTGTCACCGTGTCGCAAATCAAGGGCGCTAGGCCGCGGCTTCTGAACGCTACCCTCGTCCGTGCTATCCCGTACCTCGTCGTCAAAATAGGGTGTCTGTGAGAGCGAGTGGCCGCGGCTGTGTGGCTGTGGGTGGTGAAGCTTAGGGCCCTCGTCAGAGTCAGTCCCAAAGGCCCCAAAGTGCACAGAAGGCCTCCTAATGTGCGGCTCAGCAGGGGGCTCGGCTTCTTGAAGAGGCATACCCTCCGCCTTTTCGAATTCATTGTGGGGGCTGTAGTCTTCATGCTCAAGCTGCGAACGGAACTGTTCCTCGAGATGGTACTCGGCATCGTCAATCTCCTTTTGAAGGCTAGCGCTAGCATTGTGGCGGATGAGATGGCTGGTCTCGGGCGTCTTGGACGAGCTCTTCTCTTCATACGGGTTGCTCTGAGTTTCCTCATCAACCTCGCGCAGGTCCTGCAGTCGAGGCGAAGCTCTAGCCGAGTCTTGCCTATGCAGGAACTGGTGGGGAATAACTGGGTACTGTAGAGATTGATGTCTTTGGTGAGCACCCAACGGAGACATGCCATCGCGCTGGAAAGGTGAGGTCGGCGAAACTAGGGAGTTCAAGTTTAGAAGTGAAGGCGACCCGCTGCGGCCAAGTTGCTGCTGCAGCAGCATTTGCGGAGACCAAGGATGTGGCGAGTGTTGGCCAGCAAAGTGGAAAGGCAGCTCATGCGGCGAGATAGAAATCGACGCACGGGGGTTGAACTTGCCGTGCGACGGGGGGATGCCAAACGAGGCCGGCGAAGAGGTTGCAGGCAACGCAGGACTCTGTGTAGCAGAGGACCCATGTCCCGAGAGGAATGGGGGCGGGAAGGGGAATGTCTGCTGGCCGTTACTAGCAGCAGAAGCAGACGGTAGAGGAGGCGAAAAGGGTAGGGACGGGTAGTGGTTCGAAGTTTGACGGCTCATATTCGACGCAGCCGGGGAAAAAGAAGGCTGAGGCACGGGTTCGTCATCGCCGAAAGAGACGCCTAGCGCCCTAAGCTTAGCCTCGTTCAACTCGTTGACATAGTTCTTCCATGCTACAGCGCAGGTTAGCAGACGTTCCATGGATGGTTTCCAGACTGAGACATACCATTCAGATCGGGAAGGGTCACTTGATACTTATGCTGCGAGCGTTCACGCGCAACATCATCCAGGTTGGGCCATTCACCCCTACTTCGGGAGTTGTTCTCTGGGTGATCCGCAGATCCGTATATTCCCTCCAGATCGAAGCCGCGCACATTATAGCCCAGCTCCTTCCAGGAGCGGAGCATCGCCGACACGCTCCCTGCATCGAGAGGTTGTCGGCCCTTCTCAGGCTGGCCTCGTTCCTCGTCCCACGGCAAGCAAACGAGTATATTTTTCCCTTTCCACGGCACTTTCTTCTTGGGCTTAGGCATACGCCCGGAGACTGGTTTCGTTGGCTTAGCGGGAGTGGCAGGTAGCTCGTAATTTGCGGCCGCAATCAGGCCGTTCGTGTTCAGGCTGTCACTCTTAGGAGTGTCTGTCCTCTGTGTGGTCTCCGAAACAGACTCGATAGTATGGATGCTGATAGCATCTTGACCAAGCCTTCCCACCTCAAGTGTATCCATACTGGCGGTCCGGCTAGATACGCGGCGATTAAGAACCGCTTGCTTCAGAGTCTCGTTACTCGAGCGTTCTCTCGGATGATTCCGAGACGATCGGCTCGAACCTCGAGACAGATGTAAGGCGGTCGCTCGCGGAGTTCCCGGGTCGGCGTCGTCAAACCAATTGCCGTCGAGAGAAACCGAGCTTCTCAATGAAGAGTGCCCACTGTCGTCAGTTCCGTCGCTAAGCCAATGGCGATTCTCGGAAGTTAGGTCGTCGGTGGTATGCTGGCGGATCCAATCCTCCGTAATGCCACGGAGAGGGCGCCGGGCGCGGTTCGCAAGTATAGCAGCAGTTGCAGACAGAGAGGAGGAGGGGCGGTCTGACTCAGGAGCGGCGATCAACGGGGCCGGGCGGAGGAAAGGCGTGTTAATCTCGAGTTGATGCAACGGAGATTCCTCCGAAGTGCCACTGCTGAAGCTTAGGCGCCGAAGGTGCTCGCTATCAGCCTGAGGATACGGCGACCCCCAACTAGCGGTAACGAACGGCCTATCCGCCTCGGAACCGCGGTTCGGGGGTGGGGTCCTAAGATACCGCGACGCCCGGTCAGGCAGTTTGGGGGTGGGAAGCCGTGGGAGTACCGGAGACGATCCACCGTCGACAGTCGAAGCACTCGAGACAGGCGATGACCTCGGCGTATCGAGGAAAGGCGAAACTCCAGTGCCGTCCTGTGCAGAGGCACGAGGAGGGGAAGACGGGGCTAGAGAATACGTCTTAAGCAACCTTGGCAGTCACGAAGCAAGTTAGCCATCAAAGCTGGACGACTTGGGATTGCAGCCGCGGGAGTCGTCGACGGGGTATCGGCGTAGGTGCATGTGTATATGTTCGTGCGTGGGTGCGTACGTGTGTATGAGCGAGTGAGTGTGTGTGTGGTTAAACATACCGCAATGAGATCAGCGCAGACGAAGGAGGAATCGCCTGCCGCTAGATCTCCAGATTTATTGCACTTGCGTTACCGTGCGCCGCCTTAGTAGCCCCGACAATGATAACAATCAGGTTGCGGGCCAGTTTAAGGGGTGAATGGATTACAGGACCAGTTTGCAACGTGGCTGTCGTCGCGACGCGTTCGGGTCGAAAAACGAGGGCGCGGGCGAGGCGACAGAGCAGGGAAGAAAAAGAGCGGGAAAGGAGAGAAATTAAAAGAGTGGTAGGGGTATGTAACTCTCCATCGGCTTCGCTTCGCCTTGCCGGTGCCAATCCGCCTCGAATCCAAGATGGAAAGGCGATGACAAGATGGACTTGAAACTGTGAAGACGCGCGAGGGAGAGCTCGTCTGGACTGAACAGACAGATTACACATGAAAAAGGTGCACCGGTTTTTTGGTGTGGCCCGCCCCTGCTGTGGTAAGGTTGCGAGGTAGCTAAAGGACTAAACAAGAAAAAAAATCCAATTCGGACGAGAAAAAAAAAAGAATTGTCCAGGATAGCCTTGTGCATGGAAATTACTATTCGATCTAGTTTAGTGCCGTACTTGGTTACGATGGTAAATACATGCGCAGGATGGCCATCTCGGCGCGTCTATCCGCGGGGCTGGCACAGAAGCGAAGTACCTGATAACAGCTCCCACCACCCCAATTTTGCATGTGGGCTTGCATAGCGCACCCCTCGCCCATTCATTAATGGAGCCTTCCCATCGTCACGGAGCGTCGCCCACTTTAGGTCGGCCACGCCTACCATCACAACAAACGCCGCCGTCACTCAACTCCGCCCTGCCTCCCGCCTGATAGGCCGAGCATGCACGCTCGGTAGGGCAGGTACGCAGTACGTATGAGAGGTACCTAATGTATGCACATATACACCTGACTGATCGCACGGGTACCCGGGCAGGTCCTTATGTGTCTACTAGGTACCTAGGTACCTAGGTATATTCCACACCCCATATGGACTATAGACTACCAAAACATCGTCTATACTGCCTCCTCCGCTGATCGACAAGCTTAACCGAGCCTAGACCGGACTTCCCCCTCCCCCTACTTATCGGCTCGCCGTTTCTTCTAGTGCGATCTCAATCTCCTTTTTTACGCTTCCTCGCCCCTTTTCAGTCCTCCGGGGAACCCGATTGTAATTCTCTTCACGGCAGAGTCTGTACACCGCGCAGCGAGACCTCTCTCGGGCTGCCCTTCCTGCACGCTGCACAAATGCCTGCCTCTCCCTCCACCTCCAACGCACCCGTGCTTACACGGTTGGGCGCCGAGTCAAGCGTGTCTGCTTCCCCCCGGGTGCCTGAATATACTACACACCAAGTAAAAAATCCCATCCTACGAGATCGTTACACGATGGCGGAACCCCGTCCAGAAGAGTCTCTCGCCCCCATTCCCTCGTGCGTCCACGGGTACAGCAAACTCGGCTAGGCTGGTGCCGACGAGCCAACCGCCCCGGATGTCTTGCAAAACAATAGACACGCATGCGCAACGCCTACTCGCCCGTCTATCGTTTCCTTGCTCGCACGCGGACCCTACTTGGATCTCGGATGTCGCGAAGAGCGCCAGGTCCCACGTCAGGCTGGGTATATAGCACCATCGAGTGATTTTCGGTGTCTGGGGGATGGGGGCAAGGAAATATCCTCGGGCACCTCCTAGAATTTGGGGCGGAATCCCGTCATCCAATGGCCACGGCATATCTTTGGTGCCAACATGTCCCTGCATATGGACTGCGGTAAGCAATCATCGAATGCCAATCTCGAGTACTCGATCTGCCCTATCAATCCACTGACATTTTCCCCTTCCTCTTCACTCTCCCGTCAGCTCCGTAGCGAATTCGCCGTATCCGAACCCCACCAGGGTTCGTGCCTGGAATTGATAGGCGGGACCCGCACACAGGCTTCCTCGACGTTCGCACACGTAGTCATAATATGAAGCCACCGGAGTATAATATACCAAGGTGTAGAAGAAGCGATATAAACGGGCATTATAGCGACTGCGCTAGGAGACTATGTTAACCCTATTATCAACTCTACGGAATATTTCCCACGCCTACTAACAACGACCACCACAATACAACAGTGCGCTCAATTATCTTGAGAAGGCATCCCCCTTCGCACTCCAACACATGGCTATCCTGTGTAGAGGATTCGGCATCTAGTCCCCATCGACTGAACCGCCCTCTACTAAGGGGAAGCCTCCGCCTACATAGTTTAGTGAGGTCCCGGGGTATGCGCCGGGTCGTAGTTCTCTGCCTTAGTTATATAGTCTTAATGGAGGCCAGGCGAAGAGGACTGGTAGGTGTCTAACGGGGTTGAAACAATACATCTAAGGATGGGCTGGAGAGAGCGGGGCTAGAGAAGCCGTCCGTCTCTGGCAGTATGCAAATTCGATGCTCACGCCTATGTAAGAGACGCGCGATTTGCAACGCGCGAGTCAGAACACCGTCTAAAAATGGAAGGCGACGCGAATGGAAATTTAAGGTGAGACAAAACCCCGATGTCAAAATGTTGGTGGTGGGTTACGTATATGCGCCTCCCCCCCCCCCCCCCCCCCCCAACCCCGTCCCCCAAAAACAAGCGGGAAAAGAGACAAGACGGCGTTCTGCATTTCTCATCGAGGCTAGATATGCCGAAGGCGGGCTGGAAGGCGGGCTGGAAGGGGTGCTCGGAATCTCGCTCGCTCGGGGTTCCAGACGTGAGCCACAACGCCGGAGCGCAACCGAGCACCTGGAGAGCAGAGCCTCCCGACACCGCGTTCCAGACCGGCCCGAATAGATCACGCTGTGAGACAGTGGCGCTTGTCATCTCTGTGTCCACAGCATACCCGCTGAAAGGGTCGTGTAAGATCTGCATTTCACTTTGCAGTGGTGTAGGCTTTGGAGAATAGCATTGGGGTACTGCTACGGGAAGGGAAGTGCGTTACGTGGGAGAGATATTCGATACCGACGGGTTGGCAACGGGTTCGGACGACGCGAAAACACGATGCGATTTTCGGCTGCTTGCCCACCTCGATTAGAAATTGCCAGAGGTACCTCTGAGGGCAGCCCCAAAAAGTGGAATGATCTTGCCTGGCCACACGTGTGCATATGTACCTCAGGCCTACATACACATTAGACGAAACCAGATTCTTATATCTTAATCCAGAGTGCGGTGACAATGTATGGGTCTCGCCAGGGGGTTGCTCGCGTTTCGAAACGCAATTCCTCCTTGCCGCACGCTATAAACTGGTCGCAAATATTTCGTAGGCCTATCGGCACAGGAGAGGAAACCCGGAAAGGGGGCTAAGGAAACAGATGAAAAATATCCCTCCGTATAACGGTCGCGAAGCAATATGCCGCCGCCAAATCTACAGGCTAAGAGTAAGTACATCGCCCCGGACGGCTTTGCTAACCTAGGAAAACCTGTTGCCATTCTAATTATTGGCCCAGCCTAGGTCTGTCAGCATGCAACGTTGTTTTGGAGCGGGCGATCATTGATGCAGCAATTATTACCGCATGCTCCGAGCGGTGCTGGTTATAAACTGCCACTGTGCTTGTTAGGCTACGGGCTAGGTAGGTTGCGAATGTTCCACGGGACCATGATCTCAGAGGGGATCCCTAGCCCTGTGTCTCTCCTCCCCCATCAGATCCAGATGATCAGCGATCGCCGATGAACACCACAAATGGGACTGTGCGATTTCGAAATCCGTTCTAGCGCTTACGTATGTATGCGTGTGTCTGCGTGTACAAGGGAGTATATACATCAGGATATTATTTATTGGGGGCAGATATATTGCGAGCAGCTAACTTCACGTAGATACATATATAGGTTAGGAGGTAGTCTGCTTGCAAGTTCAATTCCAGCTGTGGCGGCGGTTATCTCGAATGGAATCGACGGGTTCTACGTTTGATTTGCCTACCTGAGGTGCCTTTAACGTACTCTGGTTTTAGGCACATACGGACCTGTTATTATCTCAACACCTCGAGTTCCCATCTAATCGACGGAAGGCTGAAAACACCCCTGCTTAACATAAAACAATGATACAGAGAAGATGCTAATATTTTTAGCCGACCCTGGATGGGAAGCATGAATAAGTATCCAGGGTACCTAACCTACTTCGGTAGGAGCACTTACATAGGTACCTACCTAATACACATCCCTTTCCCCGCCGATAGCAGGTCCCATAAACCACCGCGCGTGCCGGGTTCGGGGACCAAACGTATCCGTATATGACCGCCGGCGTGGTTCGCCCACTAGACACGCCAATGCCGTTCGGTACCTACCTACCTAGGTAGGTAGGGATATACATATATGTACGCGGACCAAATGCCCAATCTCCTCTCTCGCTTCCATGTGAGATGGATGTGCGTTCAATCGATAAGAGGACGACGATGTGTAACATACATAGGTAGCTACCTCTAGGTTGTATGTACCTAACCAAATAGAACATAGAACGTATGCACAATACAACACGTACATACCTTAGGCAAGGCACCTAATACATTTGGTACATAGCTCACTAAGCCACAGTGCCCAGGCGCCAGCAGTTCCCCTTCTGCGGGTGCAACAGGCCACAACTCGAACGTCTTACCAGTCCGGCAATATCGCGGATCATTCCTATACCCGCCAAAGTACCCTGTAGCGTACCTCAAGGGCGGAACGTCAGGACGGGAAGTGGATCTAAGCCGTTTCTAGTATCGTCAGCCTCCTCCTCAGCATGTACTTCACGTAATGTGTGTACTTGTCGTGGGCCCACGTACAGCATACATTGTCAATGTACCTCGGTACATGGCTGCCACCGCTCCACGAGTCAGGGGGAGAGGGTCTCTTGTCCATTACCTTTGTCACGCTGTGATTGGGCCTTTGATTAAAAATTATGCGTGGTCCGTGACTTCGCGCAGCTTTGTGCTTTGTGCAAAATACGAAGCTGATGTAACCATACCTCTCCTAATCCCAAGGAATCCCTACCTAGGTAGTTATCCGCTCCCTCTTCCCGTCTCGTCTTCCTCACCAACCAAGCCTCCTCCTCTCCCTCCACCCGACTCTTCCTCCTGTCTATCCTACCTCATGGTCATTCGTTCTGCCAAACCTGATCCGACCTGCCAACCCTCTCCAGTCCTCTTTCCCTCGTTTATTCTTGTCTCGTTCTTAATTTCCTTCCTTTTTTCTCTCTCTCTGTGTCTTCTACCAGAGGGTTGAGGCTTGTCGCGCCCCTAGAATATCTCGCTCGTTCTCACACGCACACTCACTCAATCCCTCAATACCGAGGACGCGCTTACTATACAGTCAACTATAACCACTGGATAATCTTGAACCTGTTGCGTGCGGGCTCAACAAATTCCAGGTTTGGCCCGTAGTGCGTCTGAGTCGAGATTGGCCGGCTCGTGACCACAAAACCCACCTGTCACCGACAAACTTGCCACCCGTCCCCCCCAAAAGGAGGGGATAACCGTGGGTATACCCGTCCAACTCACGCCTATCATCATTCAAGCTCCGTTATATTTTCATACTCATCGTCAATCACCATGCGTTCGATGCGGTTGGCCCGCCTGATGGCGGTGGCACTTTCTGTCACTACCGTAGCTCACGCTACTTGGCTGGACGAACAGCTCTTCGGCAAGGCTCATCGCGAAGTGACCAAGAGACAAGACAATCCTGGGTCAATCTTAACCGGTCTTCTCTCCTCCTCGTCTTCCCCCGACACTCCTACCCCCAGTACCGATGATTCCGATACACCCGCGCCGACTTCCGACAACCCACCCGAGTCAACCAGCACTCCTCCTCCAAACCCGCCCACCACTACGTCTTCGTCGTCGCAAACGACCCCGACGCGAACGACCCAGAGCCCGACGAGCGATAACGGACCATCTACCACGCCTCCTCCAACGTCCAGCCCCAGTTCGCCTGATTCACAACCTTCTTCAACGACATCTGGAGGTGACAATGAAACTTCTGAGACTGTGACTACCCCGCAGCCTCAGCCTTCTACCTCGACCTTCGTCACCGTGATTACGACGACGAACTCGATAGGGGAGACTATCGTTACCTCATCCTCCAGCACTATCGTATCTACGCCCACCGTCGCCCCTGCCGAATCTACTCAACCCCCTGGTATGCCTGATTCGATCAGGAATACAATCATTGGTGTCACCGTTGGCGTGGGGGGTGCCATCGTCCTCGGTGTCGCCGGTGTACTATTCTGGAGACTCCGCAGCAAGAGACGAAACCAGGAAGAGAATGAGGAGTTGGTTAGCTACGGTGACGGATTTGGCGGCCCCGGTACCGCGGAGAAGACGACAGATGCCAGCGGTAGCACCGCCGGCCGAACACCTTTCCAGAGCACGCTCGAGAGTTACCATGCGCCGACGTCGACGAACGCGGCCTCCAACTTCTAAACACTTGGACACGGGCCCTCCGTAACGGCTCTCCACGGCATTCTTTTTAAACCTTTTGGCGTTTGGAGATGTTACGCAATGCATCATCAAAATCCTCATTTTCATAAGCCGGTATCAGGAAATTAGACAGATTCCCCCGACATTCGCGAGTTGACGATGTGCTAGAGAAAGAAGAGAAGAGACAATAAGGAGACGGATGAGGCATCCCCATCCGCCTTCCGACCTAATCGCATCCATTTTCAAGCAATGATGGTTTTGCGGCGGAGTAAGGAAAGATGGGGAGCACGAGAGGGGGATGATTGATGGCTCGATGAGCGTAGCTCACGTAACTCTTGAGGGAGTGTGTGCGCGTGAGTGAGTGGGTGAGAGAGAGGAGATGACAAGGACGAAGGAGAGAGGGGAATGGTGAGAGAAGAGTACCTTTGTATACAGTTTCATAATCACCGGATTCCTTCGATTCTCCCCGCTTCTAGTACATAGGAACAATTCATGTGTACCTTTTTCGCCTGTGCGAGGAGGTTTTAGTCGTTAGACGCCACATCTCTCTCCACTTCCGCTTTTGCCGCCGCACCTAGATCCGCGATTCCATCAGCCGGCGGCAAGGTGCGTGCTACCCCTATGCATGGGATGCTGCGCGCGCAAGCCAGCCAGAAGTCAAAATCCCCCGGGAACACCAGTGGCGGTTTCTCCGAGGCTTCCCCCCTCCCCCGGCTCCGACCACCACAGATAGAGGACTCAGCTCCGCAGCGCCGCGCCGCGGATAACGCCTGGCGCGAGCGAGGAGAGCAGTTCAGGAGCCGAGGCGGCGAGGGCGCTCCGGCCGGCAGGTGCGGCGGCGAACAGCGCTGCCAGACCCGCCGGGGGAGCAGAGGACAAAGCGGCCACTCCCCCCTGGGGGCTGGCGTGGGAGTTGCCGGGTGCTACGGGGCCACGAGACTAATTAATGGTCGGCGCGACGTCGAGAGAGACCGTGCAAGTCGGACAGCTCCGGGGCTCGCGAGTACAAGGCAAGCAGTCCGTAAGGATCATATAGCAGTAGCCCATCACCCATCACGTTAGCCTTTGCCTGTCTAGACCCCCGAGCCTGAGCAGGCCCCGACGACGTGTCTCTTCCTAGGCTGTCTACCTAAGCAACCCACCGGTAATGCCCACCCTAAGACTCTTTTTCGAGGTATTTCTTGTTACTCCATCAGTCGAATCGCCCTGTGTCTTCAAGTCTCTCCCCGAGAAGAATGCGAGCTCCCTGGCACATCCTAGCCGAACTGAAGCTGCCCGGAGAACTTGGCCAAGAGACCGGCAACGGGTAGTAAAGATTAAAGGTACCTGCCTACCAACCTAGTTAGGTGATCAACTGGCTACCGTCGTAGTCTTTATTGTAGTCTGTATAGGGGTTGGATGAGTCGTTGCACCAGCTCGACCGTATACCTACGTCGAGCTCGCTGAGCAAGAAGTAGGTATTCCCTTGCCCATAGATGTGGGTCCCTAATAGAGCCACATGAGGCTCGGCATCAATGCCTAGGTAGGTAGGTAGGTAGGTAGATCGCTCATAACGACTCCGTAACGGAACGACAAGCTATTCTTTGTTATGACTTGCAGATATAGGATAAACGTTTAATTACTTGTTACGTAGGGGATCAGCCCCTATAAACCTGCACCTGCAAGTCCGAGAATGTAGGCGTCTACGTTTTACGCAACATTATTTTAGCATAGGCCTATGCCGAGCCTGATCAACTTTGAGGAGCGCCCAGTCGCTCCACCAATTTCTATTTTGCAGTGCCAGTACCCGGGCAAAACGAACGTGAGCGAAGATCCTTGAATATACGGTATCAGAAGAGGCGAGCTCTTCCGGGTGGGCGCAAGCATATTCGAGGTCCCTTTGCAAATTCCGTCTTCGCTCCTCGAGTATTTGTTGCCTTCCATCGTCGAAAGAATCGTTGTCAATACTGTCCATATCCCCGAGTTGCGTCTGGCACCAATTCTTGAAGCTCGTGACCTTGTCGTTTGCTCCTCGGAGGGCCGTGTTCCCCGACTGGATCATCGCTACGTCGCCGTTATTACTGCGATACTCCGCGCCGTTGTCGCTACTACCGGGGAAGACAACGTGGCGACAGGTTAGGGCAAGTGTGGTCTCAGTCAGGCCTTGCCCGGTCGCTCGAAGGTATAGACACTTTGTACCTTCCGTGGCTGGATGCTGAATAGAGGCAATTGCCACCCCTAGATGATGATAATCCAGCTACCCAACCCTGTAAAGCCGTTAGCGGTACCACGAAAACCGTTGGCCCAAGTACTAGAGCCGTTGGGGTGGGCAGAGAACGAACCTTGGAATCAGGTGAATTCACCTCACAGTTGTGTCGCCCACTAGAGCAGTCCGGTCAGCGAAGAAAAGAAAGCAGTGTACCAGCTTTCCGGCACTACCTACACGGGAGGAATCGAGATCCTGGATCCGGGCCCGGATCAGATGGACGGCCGGGAGCTCGAAAGCGGCAGAACTACGGGGCATCAGCTTGGTACCTCGACAACTAGGGGGTAAGAGCACGTACAAGGCGGAGTATCGGTATTACCCGGAGGCATACTTATAGCAGCGGTCGCCGGCGGCGGTAGTATCAAAGCACTCGCCCGTACTGCGGCCCCAGGCAGCGGACCGGACATACCATGAGCAGGGGACGGCACAACGGGCGAAATGGTTACCGCGACAATGGCGACAAGTGGAAGCATTACTGGGGGGCATAGGGCCGGCGTTGCTCGAACCCGCGATACCCTAGGCCAGTTCGTCGTTATAGTCGACGTTCTCCTCATCGTCCTCGTCCATCTCCTCCACGTAGTCGTTGTCGCCCGGGTCCTCGTCGAGGCCCGACACGGGCGAAGCCTTACCGGAGTCCAGCACAATTGGAGTAGCAAGGGCAGAGCCGGGGACACAGAGCGAGCGCTGGAGACAGCGCAAGCGCGAGAAACCCCTAACGTTGCCAACGCGGACGCAATAAACAGACCGGTGAGACGGCCATGGACGCAAGAGGATATGGGAATAATATCTGAACACAAGTTGGGTTTGGGAAAATGGGAACGGGTAAGTTTAAGAGAGGCACTTTGCATATAGGTGTAAGATACATGTTGTGTAAAACGTAGACGCCTACATTCTACGACTTGCAGATGTAGGCTTTTAAGAGGAAGAGGAGGAGGAGGGGAAGGAGTTTGGTTCACCAACAGTATGTCTGTAATGGTATCGAGATGTGAACACGGTAGCAAAATAAGGTAAGGATAACAAATAATGCCACCATTACGAAAGGATAGACAAAGTAGCAAAGGTCATTATACAGATTCGACTATGATTTAATATATTATAACTTAATGTTAGCATTAAAATATGATCTTTATAATCAGGAAAGTATTAATTTCTTATCTTTAATAGGATTATACTTTAAATCTTAACTTCTATTCTTTTAACTTTGACATTATAAAGGATAATTATTCTACGTTAAAGAGTGGTTTTATGATTGTATATTATTTATATGATAGCTAAACTGTGGTTTCAATTCAAGTTACTTTCATATAATTATAGAAATACTTCTAATGAATAACAATAATTTCTATAAGTAGAAACAATGCTTACAACGGTGTCGATAGACCCCTACCCCTCCGTAATATAGTAACTCTTAAACACCTTGGAGGTATTTACTAACTTCTTAAGCAAGTACGGGGGCGCCTGACATAATGGTAGAAGCCACGAGAAGTTGCGAAACACTCTCCGAAGGAAGGAACCTTGGAAAGCAAACACCGAAAGGAAAGGAAAGAGGAACGCACGAGTATCGGCAGGCACACCGAAAATCCCGATAAAGGTGCCAAGGTAGGTGCCTACTGAGGGAGGTGTCCGTTAGGTAGCTGGTAGGTACCTACCTCCTACTTCAGAGAAGTTCTTCTGGCTCTCAGGGCTTGATATTCTACCTACAAGAAGCACCTCGGTCCCTCGATCGCACAAGTTGCTGATTCGCGCAGGCCCCCTTGGCTTAGCATCCTCACCTTCGCTTTTGCTCTGTACATGCCGTTCATGATGCAGAAATGAAGCGCTAGGGAAAAGGGGACTGTAAGGAAACCTAGAACAGCTGTAAATACTCGAGCTTCATACGCCTCTAATACCCTACGGGAGGTTACGGGATAGCCTTAATAGGCGGTCTTTACGGACGTCAATTACCCTTACTCTTACTGTCACCTCCTAAGGCGCCCATAGCAAGATGGGAAAGATGCACGCGCCTTTCGACGCCTTTCGAACCGGTTCGTCCTTTTCCTTAGTTCCACTTTCTGCGGCACACCTCGCGGACACGCAGAATAGTAGGACGACATGCTTGTCCCGGAAAGCAACTGGAGCTGTTGGAAATCCGCCGGGTTGTCGCGATGATCCATGCCAACTCTAGGGCCACACTTGCTCCTACCAAGGACAATAATGCTAGGGCCCCTCAGGATAATTAGATAGGCGAAGGAAATCCTTCTCGTCGTTTCAACTAGTGACCGGAGCGTTAGATTGTGTTGAGAGCCATGATTTCCGTGATTCCTTACGTGTTTCGTGCAGCACGCTGGCTGGTAAGCTAACTGGAGGCAGGCGGGTGGGTGGTTGGGTGCCTGCAGGCAGTTAACAATATAAACTCCCACTGTATTAACCCAGTAATATTCTCAGAGCGCCATACGATGTGTCTATCAACGCCTACGGGTACCCAAGGCAATAAAATAGGTAGGTAGCTGCATTCTTCAACTATCGCCCACTGCCCTGGCCTTCATTTGTCGTTGCAAATATCCCGTGCCTTACAAATAACTTGCTGGTTCCATAACACCCCCGCCGCCTATCGGGTATGCGTAAACCGGCTAGTCGTCTTGGGAGACGTAATATCGAAGCGTCTGAGCAGCTCAACGCACAGTTTCTGCATCTCCACTCGTGAGCCTTGCCATCCATGCCCGAGTCCTTTTGGGTCCACCGTTCAGGTCTCCAGGCATCTGCTTCTAGCCCGAAGACGGTCTCGTCACGACGGATAATGTAAGGACTAACGCCCATCTGTGTACCTGGGAGGATATAAATTCACCCAGCAGATAATTCGTAGCCAGGCTTGCTGACAATCCGCGGCAAGATTGTCTGAGCAGGTGCATCTCTACGAAGAGGTTCATCGATGCAATTCATCGTACGTGACAACAGGATGGGACGGTTGACCAGCGCTGTCAGAAGCTCGGACCTCAGCCAAAATACTACTGTAGGCATCAGGGTGGTTGGTCTTACATGGCATCATTGGCATTAGAACAACACTGCCCACCACATATGCATATGCTGTAATAATAGTAACGAGGAAGACATTATATTAAACGCACTACAGGGTTGGATGGTGATTTAGGCCTGACTGACAGATGATGCCAGCTTCTTTTGGGGGGGGAGGGTTGCCAACCATTACACAGCACTTTCCCGAATCTCATAAGTAACTGTCCGATCAACGGTGCGCCAGATTCCATTCCTTGAACCATTTATTGTCCCTGGTACTGTCAATCCACCTAAGTCCATACCCTGCCCTGAAACCGAACCAACACTGTGCTGCTTTGGGCGAACAAGAGACTTTGTTGAGTCGAAAGCAAAGCTGAGGGCAGCTTCAGGTCGAACGAAATTCGAACGCCTCTCGGACGCTGGTTGTTTCTTGCGGGTAAAGCTGAATAAGGGTCTTAGGGTAGGCATACAGGCAGCCATAATAATCACATTGGCTTCAACACTGACCGTATTTGTAAGCACCTAAATTTATGCATTATGACTTGGTAGAATCTAAATTAAATGACAACTTACGCCGCCCAGATAATAAGGTCAACCGTGCCATACGTGAAATCGTCCAGATTCTGTAATTCATCGAGATGTGTTGTTTTAACAATTGAGCAAATGGCAGAAAGCAAAGTACAACCCATGACAAGGCATAAGCTGACTTTCGTTTTCTTAGGAAGCTGGAGGTTCTAAAAGCTAGCAATGGGTACAATTGCAAGTACGACATCAGTAAACGCAGTAAAAGCTATAGCATGGGGAATTGTTAGCGACATACACACGTGTTAAAATGTAGGGGCAATGGATGGGTTGCGACATACCTCCAGAGAGGTAAGAGTAACAAGACAACAGTCCTGGAGGGACGCATTGTGCCGGAATGCTAGGGTTCCATAGATGCTCAGATGGGATGCACTGGACAAACAAGAGGACACAGCATACGGCTGCAGTAACACACTGGAGTCCTGTCAACAAATATAACCCAATGGCTCGCCGTTTATTCGGCACCATCAAGCGATCTAGAAGGATAGCAACAGAGATGTGCGGAAGCGAAAACGCCATTATTCCAAAAGGATGTCCAATCAAGCTAGTCATAATGGCGTGGCTGCGCTGGTCAATAGGCAGCTCGGAGGCATGCCTGCCCATTCCGAGGTGAACACCGTATGTAAAAATCGAAGTAAAAATTACAATAAGGATCTATACACGTCAGCAAGACGGGCCTTCAATAGGTGGACATTTTAAACATACAGCAGAGAAGAAGATGAAAAAGTCGTCCCAGCCCAACGTATGGGGCATATGCGCACGGGTTACAAGCTTCAAGGTGACGGTGACGAGGGAAAGACTAGTGAAGACCCATATAATGGCTAGAATCTCTGGACCCTGATTTTCGCCCATCATGTTGGTTATTTGCTAGTATTTACCTTGAATCGATCTAGGAGACATGGGTGCTACCCAGGCCGTCTGCGAGGACGCCTGTCTTCTTATCTCTTGACAGCAACAGGCAGACCGTTCGTAAGCCGCGTTAACTCTGTGACTATGAACATCTGGCCGAACTATTAATATCTGCCGAAATACTAAGTCTTGATTGGTGCTGCTCATCGTGTTAATCAACTCCTGCGCGTAAGCATGATATGCAGTTGAACAGTTGGTGATTCTACTGTACTGAGGCACAGGTTGCAACATATGCGCGCTGACCTGCATTGAATCTAACTACGTTCCAACACTTCCTCGCTTGGGTATAAAAAGTGGCTGTTCGGTTGTTATTTTCAGGGTTCCAATTGAAACTACCCTGGTGATTTCGGTAGCTCACGCAGCATTTGCTACTGTTTGGTTACCAACTATAGACCGTGAATGGTTTTATGTTTTCCCCCCCCAAAAAATGCTACCTGGATACTGAAGGCTGGTGTTACCTGTAGGCTAAGGTGGTTGTCTTTAAGGTACCTATGGTGTGTAACCTGTACCTAAGTATAGATAGCCCTGTCTTTCATAGGCAGCCTTACCGTAACATTAATGCAACTCTTAGACCACGGGCCTCAGCTACGAGGTCGCCTAGACAGCAGATTCGGTGCAGTTGCATAGGCGTCTGCAGATAATATGATATCGGTGGTATTCTCGGACAGGTCCTATGTGACATTATATTCCAGTTTAATTCGCCGGGCAACGTTGGAGATGGCCTCTGGTTGTTGCACAAGCTATGCTTGTGCGTTTTGGCCGGCTCGCTTCCTGTTGCTTCGTAATCACTTATTCATCTGAGGCACTGAACCTGAACTGCTGATCAATTAGGAGGATAACTAAGCCCTAGAACTGCGAAATAACGAGCTTTTATATGGCTACTTTTAAAATGAATATTGGCCTATCTCCCAGGATGCCGTTGGCAACAACTGTGAGTTAATAACACTGACCAATGGGACGCCTAGGATCCGCATGCTACAAAGCCTGCCCTCGCAGATACATATATATGCTTAACTACATAATACATCAATTAGTGGATTGGACATTATTCGAATTAAGTGCCCAAGGGAGCATGTTGGTTGTGGTGTCAGGATGACAGTCTCCCGGTCCGGTTCAAAATTTCTTTCCCCTCAGGCAGGGCTTCGCGGATACTCGGAAGGGTGGTCTTTATGTCGGGTGTTGGTAGGCCGTTGTATTCCCGCCCGCTACCTTTACGTTCATCACTTAATATAATATGAGGTGCGCGCTCACCAACTCTTCTCTCGTACTTTTCCCCGTTGCACTAACATCTATTCTTCCAAGATCCGTCTTCATTTACGCCCAAAATTTCAATATGCCATCTACGCCGGAAGCCATCCTTGCGCAGCTCCAGGCTGCCGGCTCTGCTTATGCCGAGAAGAAGCCCGGTGCACGAGAACAGCTTCTAAATCTCGGCTATGCATTGGTTTCCAGCGTTGAGCTTCCTAGTGAAGCTATCCAGCGCATGGGCTGGGCTGAGGTGAGTTGGCAAGAAGCTCTCGGGAGAAATTGATGCTGACTTAAGGCGATCACCCAGCCTGCTCGAGCTGCGCACTGCCGCATTGCTGTTGAACTCGGGATATTTGAGCTGCTTAAAGATAGCAACCAGAGCGCCAAGGAAGTGGCCGCAAAGACTGGGGCAGATGAAGTCTGAATTGGTATTCTGGGCCGATCACTTGCGAACATGTGACGCGGATTGCTGATAGTTTCGACAGTCCGGACATTGAAGCATCTCGCTGCTATGAACGTCATAGCCGAGAGCGATGCAGAAATACGCCGCAACACGTCTAAGCAACGCCTTAACTGAACCTAGATACCGCGACGGTGTTATCTACGTGTGAGTAGCTTCCTTTCAAATGTTGTGGGAACCGGTAGCGAATACCCGCGATTCTTAATAGGCACGATGTAGCAGGCCCATCGTTCCGTGGACTGCCCGAATACTTAAAGAGCATCAAGTATGCGCTTCCTACAAAGTTGAACGATGGACTGTTCCAGGCTGCCCATAAGACAGAGCTTCCTTTCTTCGCTTGGCTGCACCAGAACCCTCCCTACCTCCAAATATTCAGTAGCTACATTGTTGCCTACCGCGCTGGAAAGCCTTCTTGGGTCGACCCGGGATTCTACCCCGTATCCGAACGTCTTACCGAAGGGTTCAACGATCAGTCGGGCGACGGTGGTGTCTTCCTTGTCGACGTTGGTGGTGGCAGGGGACACGATCTACTGGAGCTCAAGGACAAGCATCCCTCCCTGCCTGGTAAGCTTATCTTACAGGACCAGCCCGACGTTATTTCGACGGTGGTCGGGCAAGACGTGTCCGAAGCTACCGCCCATGACTTCTTCACACCTCAGCCGGTAAAAGACGCCCGCGCACACTATCTCCGCTCCGTTTTCCACGATTGGGACGAGGACTACTGTGTCAAGATTCTCCAGCAACTGCGACCAGCGCTCAAGCCAGGTTATTCTAGGCTGCTAATTAACGAGATCATTGTCCCCGATCGAAACGCCGCTTGGCCGGCCACGTCAATGGATCAGTTAGTATTCGTGCTGGGCGCCATGAGAGAGCGAACCCAGGCTGACTGGGAAAACATGCTACGGCGCGCGGGGTTTAAGATCGTGCATGTGTACAGTTACGATATGGTCGCCGAGAGTCTTATTGAGGCGGAAATAGCCTAGTTTAAGTGGAACAACCTCAGCCTATCACTCATGGTAGAAAGGGGAAGCAGAAGGTAGATGAGCGCGAGGCAATCCCATGGCCGTCCACCAACGCTAGCACGATACAATTGTATAGGCCGTAACTCACAGGCACCGCCTCTAAGATCGGTGTCTCGAAGGGCACAATGAGAGAATTTAGGTAGCTCATGATGACTATACTAGTAAGTCGTAGGCATCGTCGTTTTGCTACCGGCGGGACCCAGTGGATAACCCGCCCTACTTAAGTCATCGTAAAACCAGAGCCACCCTGGCCGTTGTCTCCCTGGGAGTTGCCCCCCCCCTTGCCCTTACATGGAGGTAAGGTAAGGGTTGCGTGTTTATCATGGTTCGACGAAGAAACGTTTCGGTAGGCGAATTGCACTACGCGATACGTACCTAAGGTACCTGTTACGAGGTGCAATTATAGGCAGGTACCTACCTAATTAGACAATACTGGCCGTTATAAGAAGAGGCAATATAGGTATGCACATAGAGGTAGGTACCTTAGGTACCTACGCACCTCTTTCTACCTGTAGGTACCTAATACCTAATAGCTACCTGTAAAAGGTACCAAGCGTCGCCTACCAGCCACTTTCTGGGCGCATTAGCCACCAACGCCTGAGCCACGGATACCCGTGGAGGAACCGGCGCTTGGACGGGACTGCGATCGATCATCGTCTCAGAATCGTTTCAACATGCCAGACATTTACAACCTTCCAATCACGTACAGATCAAGGCATACATGTGTGAGGACGTGGGCGTGTGAAGGCGGGTGCTGGGCTACGTAGACAGAGGCGGGGTCCGGGATGGAGTCATTCCCAACCATTAACCATTTTCTCCTCCCTTTTCTCCCCTTCTGTCCCGTTTGCGACGCAACCAATTGAATTCCCCTCGTCTTAAATTCGTGATATTGGCCGACAACCCCCCCCGCTAGCCTATGCGGCGCGAAGGAGCCGTATACGTCGCTGTCATCCTGCCACCGCAGACGATCCGGCCCTGGTGCGAGACGAGAGACTAGACGAGCCACGGGAGACGAGAAGTGCCCAGGCGTGACACGGCAGGGCGAAAGGAAGAGGCGAGAAGGAAAGACAAGTCAGCGAGGGAGAGAAGGAGAGAGAAAGACGTCAAATCATGAGGTGCCGAGGGGTCGCCGGCGCGGCCGCCATTCTCCCCCTGCTGACGGCACTCCTGGCCGGCGCCGCCCTCGCCAGCAAGATCGCGGAGGAAGTCCGGCGGGATATCCCGATGGGATTATTCGGGCGGCAGCAGTCGCCCGACTTCCAGGTCCGTAGGCTTTTGCGCTCCGCCCCTCGGAAGGAATCGTTTAGGAACTAGACACGTTTAGGCACTGGACGTATTCCGTCGAGGTTCATCTAGGACAAGCTAACTCGCTCGTCTGCATATATAGAGATTTTCGGACGCCATGGGTGGTCAACGTGCCTCGCAGGTAGGTTTCTTCCTATATTGACCGCTCTCCCTTCCTCCCACTTTGGGCGAAAGTGTAGTCTAAATAGTGAAGAGAGAGCGCCGGAGAGACGGCGAGTGCATCGACAGGATCTAGATCCAGCTGACGCAAAGCCTGGGTGTGAGAAATTAGATAGTCTTCAATGACGGCTCCGATGCCAAAGAGCGCCCGTTCATGATCTCCGGTGGGAGATCCGATGGGAGTACCTTCGTACGTCCTCTTCCCTGCTTCGCTCTCTCACACGCTTTCTTCCAAGAGGCGCGGAAACCAAATAGCACCCACGGGCTGTTACTATCCGCTGCCCGCCCCCCGCTAGCCCAGGCTATACCACGTACGTCCCCGCGCGGTATCTAACCCGTCAATGAGGAGGGAACACAGACGACTTTTGAAGCAGCCTCGGACCGTGTCTGCGACGATCAGAAGAACGACTGCGCGGATCAGTCCAATCGCGGCGACGCCTCCTTCAAGGTCTCCGACTGCGACGCGCAAAACAGTGGGTTCCCCCTCCTTTCTTAGACGTCTGGTCTTTAGAGACGTCTATTATATACGCAGTTTTGCGGGATTTGACAATGAGATGCTAGGAGATTGCAAGACGACCAACCAGCCTACGGACCAGGACGACGAGTTTTTGTACTTCTGCGATTGATCGGGGCCGGGTTTGTTCCCACTGGCGCGCTAAGGGGGAGGGCCGTTGGACGGGTCTTCTCGATATGGCCCTCTCTTGGCCCACTGCCTTTCCCTAGGGGATTCCGGCCAGGGGGTTAGCCTCCTGGAGGCGGTTGAGTGGTTGGCGAGCTTAAGTTCCAATCTCAACGACCTCGTAATTGGCAGAATCGCGATGATATGTTTAATGGGCAGTGGGGGATCTGGAGCTTCGGCGGACAAGGAACGTAATCGGCTGGGCTCCCTCAGCGAGCTGGGGTCCTCAGCACGATTGTAATATATCTTCATATATTATCAGACCTATTACCATCTCTCTACCGGGCGATACGTATGGCAATGATTCATACATACCCCGGGACGAATTTGGCTTCGAGACAACCATTTTGATGATCAGCGATCACACACTTAGTTAGCACTCGCTTTGGTCTCCTATCATGTATATATTGAATCTACAGTACAACTGTTACGAACCCGGTTACCTATCTGACGCCTCGAGCTAGACGTCGGTATAGCTGAGGCCCTGTCACGCTCATAGCATGGCACATCTACGACTTTGAGTTCGCTGAATCGTACCCACCTTCAGTAGCAAGCAGTCAGTGGCGGAGAGAAGTGACAACTTTGAGACGGAGTCAGGCAGCTTTTAATACGGGTTTCCTCTTCCGCCTCGTCGACGGCGCGGGCAGAGAGACGGTTAGTAGCGTAGGGGTACTGCAGTCGGCGGGAGAAGCGTAGAGTGTAATTATTAAGAGTTCCAACCCCATCTTCACCACATGAGCAGGCTGTTTTCATAAACACATAGCATTAGCATTTCGGAGCCGACTATACACAATGAGGGAGGGGTGGTTGAAGTGGTTGAACCAGCCGTCAAGCCCGAGGACGCCGCCGACCTGGATAAAAAAAAAAAACTGCAACGCAAGACACTTTCGTGGTAACAACTAAAACGCCTGTCTGTTCACCGGTCATGACGTACGTGTGATCGGTGCACAATGATGCTATGAGACGCCGAATGTCATTACCTCTAGCCGTTCGCCCAGATGATTCATCTCCTATGACAAAAGAAAGAAGGGTGGTGAGTTCCCGTCGGCAATCCATGTCGACCTTGGAATGCGTGATATAGTATAATTCGTTTGCTCCGAACACACACACTCGCCTCAAGAAGGAGGAGCGGGGAGAAGGGATTAGACGGAGGCGGCAGCCCCTCCGAGGGCTGTCGGCCTATACGCGAGCAGCGGGTTTTCTGCGCACGAGGAACGGACTTGGCATCTCGTCTCGTTCCGGGTCCCAGACGGCGGGCTCGGCGAACAGTCGGTCTTTGAACGTGCGCTTGGGGCTGGGATTGAGGTTCTCGATCGGGCGTCCGCCGGCGCGGGCCTGCTGGAGCTCGACCAGCGTGCGGCCCTTGATGTTGTTCTTCGCCGCCACCTTGGTGAGCGGCGGCTCCTGCTCCTTCTTGATCGAGTTCTTCCGCTGCGGGCCGTTCTCGCCGCTGGCCGCGGCGAGGTTGGCGACCGAGGGGATCTTGCTTAGCCGGCGGTTGGGGGAGTTGCCTCGCTCCCGGAGGGCGCCGTTGCTGGCCTGCGTGCGCAGCTCGGGACCGGAGACGGACGACGGGGGCGTTGACCTGGTAGCGCCCACCGTCTTCATGCGGTTGGCAGGGGCCGTCTTGGCGGCCGTGAGGACCGGTCGCTGGGGGCCGAAGGGATTCTTAGTCGATCGCGGCGGGCGACTCGGCGACGGGATAATAGGGGTGTCATCGTCGTCAGAATCGTACAGGACCGGGTCCGAATCCCCACCCTTATCCGACCGGGATTCGTCGTGGTCCTGGTCGAAGATGGATGGCTTCAGGCCCATCGGGACCTTGTTAAAGTGGTTGCGGCGAGGCGATAGGGACAGGGACGCGATCGCAATAGGCGACGGGGATGCCATGTCGACATCCATCGGTGTTCCGGGAACACGCTCAAACATAGTCTGGGCACGGCCGAAGGGCACGCGTGAACTCCTCTTAAGAGGCTGTACGTCCTCGGGTGAGTCGCAAGAAAACTCGGTTATATCAGTAGTGGACGGGAATTCACCCTCTGTGCTGGTAGATCGCGGGAAATCCGACCTCGACAGAGGCGAGGAGGAGAGCGATACGAACTGCACAGTGTCCGTAGGGGCGAAGGAAACACTCTTCTTGTTGAGCTCCTCCTGGACTCGCGCTTCGACCTCGGCTTCAAATCGTCTCTGGAGCTGCTCTATCTCTTCGTTGACGAGGCGGTCGATCTCCAACCGAGCCTTGACCTCCCATTCTCGTCGTAGTTGCCCGTCGATCTCTTGCCGGGAGTATGCCTTATCCGCTTCAATCCTCGCCAATTTCTCCTCAACCTGCTTTAACTTCACGTTGAGGAGGTTCTCCTTGGCACGCAGGTCTTTCCTGGCCTCGACGGCCTCGCGCTCTTTGCGCATCAGACGCACGATCGGGAGGTTGAGCAATGCGGCGGTGTCGGGTCGTACGTCGGGGTTAACCTTGAGGCAATCCTTGATCACGGCCATGAGCTCCGCCGAGTAGACCCGCGGGAGCGCCGGGACCTTCCCCTCCTTGATCTTCTGCACGAGCTGGAAGTGCGTCTTCGCGTTGAACGGAGGCTCTCGCGCGCACAGCTCGTATATGATGCAGCCCAGCGACCAGATATCGGATTTGAGGGTATATCGCTCCGCCGCGCAAATCTCCGGCGACATGTAAAACGGCGTGCCAACGTAGGTAGAGGCGAAATCGTGCGATTGGATCATCTTGGACAGGCCAAAATCTCCGAGCTTGACCGAGTTATCCTCCCCGAGAAACACTGCGCCGGGTCAGCAGATGGTAACGGACGGGGGCGTTTTGCATGGGTTAGCATACCGTTCTCGGGCTTGAGATCTCGGTGAAGGATCGTCATCACGCCGGGCGGCGTCTTGGGCTTCATTACACCGCCTATCCCCAGGACATTCTTTCCCACCTCCGGGGGGTCGATACCGTAGTGACATCGGTATAAGGCGGTTACCAGCTGCGAAAATATGGTCCACACAAACGTCTCCTCGGCATATTCCTTGCGCTGGACGAGGTTGCGGATCACCCGGCCGAGGTCGCCGTTGCCGCAATACTCCATGTACAGATGCAGGTCTTGGCTCTGTTTGAGGTGCTCTCGATGGTAGTAGCCAACAATGTTGGGGTGTCGGAGGGTCGAGAGGATCTGGAATTCGGCATGCAATTGCTCGCGCTCCTTCTGCGACATCTTCAAGTAGCTGATCTCTTTCCGGCAGAGAACCATCCCGTCTGTCTTTCGCCTAACCTTTCGGATGATGCCAAAGGAGCCATGGCCTGGGTTCACGTTGCCGCGGCAGTTAGCTGACGATCCATCCCCGCAGATACCCTTCCGTCTCCGTCATCGTGTCCGTATCTTTCCTCTCCCTCCTCTTCCCCCGAGGACGGGTAGATGGGTAAGTCCTGAAGGCGGGGAAGGTTTAGCCCGCCCGCCAGCCCACCAGCGAAAACATACCTATCTTCTCCAAGACATCATACTGATCACCGATGGATTCTGGCATTGTGAATTCAGTGCACAGCGCTAGCAGGTACTGGCTGTGTAGTGCTGTGCCATAGACACCAGAGAGAAAAAGAATCAAGTGGAGGATAAAGGAGGAGGAGAGGAGACAAGGAAGGTAAGCTGATGAAGGTGTTAGATGGGCTGCTGGTATGGGTTACTGGGCGCTGCTCAGCTCACAGGTTCTGTTGTTGAACAGGGCAGAAAGGGTAGGGTTGTGGCATTGAAGAGGGAGTGAGGTAGGGTTTGGCCTGCAGACGGAAAAGCTGCGCTGGGATATGCACAGGAAATGGCAGGCAATGTGTACCCAGTACAAGAGATCCGAGCCGATGGGAATGGCAGGCCTTGGGTTCTGGTGTCCTCAGTCAACAAACCCACCGTGGCCACGGCAACAGACTGCCGAGTGGGACCCTGACAAGGCACTAGTCCTAATACGGGCTGGACCCATTGTCAGACCTGTATCGATATGCTTATCTTATCGGGATGGCGGCGCGGCATAACATCCCCTGATGACATAACATCCATTCCGGTTCGGAGCGGTCCAATCACGCAGTATCCCGACTCTCTCCTTCTCTCTCTCTCGTCTCTTCGCATCCACTCCTCCGAATCGTGGGCCGACCGTGAATCGCCATGCCTCGCAGGCCCTTCAATTTCGTGTCATGCTATCGAATTTCGTGTCTTGCCCCATCTCCAAACTGCCGTGTATCTATCCATACACAAAAAGCCTAGCGGTTATTTAGTACGTCCGATTCTTGATCATCAACGTCATACCGTGTCCTCACTCTCTCGTCTGCGACTTCTAGGCCGACATGGTCCTTCGAAAGCACGAGCTGGAGGCGAAGCTGAAGGATGAGCTCGACCTGGTTAAGAGCGGAACGATCCGCGACGAGAACCCACTCGATCTGAGCGCGGAATTTGATGACCTGCTCCAGGCCTGCCGGCGGGGCGATCTCAAGCGGACACAGGAGTTGATCTCAGCGGGCGTTAATATAAATGGCAAGGACAACTTCGATTACACTCCGCTCATCATCGTGAGTAGAGCTAGCTTTCCCACTCTTCGCTCCAGGAGAAGGCCCGCAGCTGACCGTCGCCTCAGGCGAGTCTCTGCGGACACTACGAACTCGTTGAGCTGCTGCGTATGTGCTCGTGTGTTTTCGTGCCTTAGTCGTTCATAGCTTCTACCTTAAAATCTATGATTGCATCCCTAAGCTGGCCGCATCGCGATATGCAAATGCCATTTCACCGAATACCCCATCTTGGACTGCCTCTTGAACACCGCCCTAGTTACACGGGTCGTGCTGACTATGAGCGTTTTTTAGTCGAGTCCGGAGCTTTAGCCGAGCGGGATACATTTCAAGGGGAGCGGTGTATCTACAATGCGCTCAACGACAAGATCCGGAATCTCCTGCTGAGGTACGACTATTCGAAATCTACGGATCCCCTGCAGCCATGGGCAGCCCATATCAGCACTTTGCTCTCTAGGGATATACCGAGGACATATGATATAACGATGATGACGACTTCGGAACCCTTCGAGCTTCACAAATTTCTCCTGTCGGCAAGATCTCCCTATTTCCAGAAGAAACTCGCCGAGGCGCCTGACTCAGAAAACTGGAAGCTCCCCCAGGCCATCCCAGCGGAGTCTTTCCGGGTTGTCACGCGTTATCTGTACCTGGGCGATATTCCGAGAGATCTAGTTGATTCTCGAAGCGGCGCCACCGAAGATGAGGTTCTGACTGGGATTGATAAGGTCAGCAAGCAGTTAGAGATCGATCAGCTTTGGGAGGCTATTCTCGCAGGACAGGATCGGCGGTTGGCACGACAGAGACATCAAGATGAGGTGAATCGGGCCCAGAGGCAGATCCAGAGCTTTTTCCAAGATAAAGTCCTCGGGCACAAGATGGCCGTCGACACCCGGAAAGTCCACGAGGTTAAGTGGTCGCACGGAAACTCCATATTTGCCGACTGTCTATTGCGGGCGGACGAAGGAGGAGACGAAGAAGGAGATATTGAGAAGCAAGAAGATAACGCCAACGGAATACCGATTGGTCCATTCTCCGAACCACAAAAGAATAACACGGTCAGGAAAGCTAGGAAATCCGTCTTGTATCCCGTGCACAAGGCCATGCTTATTCGGTCCCCTTATTTCGAGACGATGTTTTCCAGCCAGTTTCTCGAGGCCCAAGCATCGGCACATCTCCACATCATCAAGGTCGACTGTTCACCCGAGATTCTGGAGATCATTTTGACGTTTCTCTATACCGAGAAAGTCGAATTCCCCCTAGAGCTTGGTCTAGATCTGCTCTACGCATCTGACATGCTTTTATTGGACAAGGTCAAGACCAAAGCAGCGGCCCTGATCAGCACCTTAGGAAGCGGCAACAATAGCATCTTAGTCGATCGAACACACGTTCAGGAGGGCGAAGTCGTAGAGGTCGAGGTCGAGCCCATCAACATATACGACGTCATACACGCAGCTTGGGATCTGCGAGTCCAGCGATTAGAAGAATTCGCTGCTCGCTACATCGCCTACCGCCTCGAAGACTATATCGACGAGGAGGAATTCACCGAGCTCATCCATAAGAGCGCCTCGAGACTCAAGACAAGAGAGGAGACAGACACGATCGAGCTTCTCGATGACATCCGGTATTACTTATCTGAGCGTTTTAGATTGCGGTTTGAGGATTCGGGGTTGGGCGATATTATGGACTTGAAGAAAGCCGATTCTGATACGGCCCCGGAGACGGACGTGATAGACACCTCGGCAAAACAGGGTGGCGTAGTCAGGACCCTCGACGGGAACCTCGTCGAAGATGAGTTCGCATCTGACGCGATAAACTACCAGCTTCTACTACAGAAGATCGATCAAATTCTAGAAAAATTAAAGCTGGATGCCTAGACGATCGCGGCACTAGGTCGGTGGAGACTGGTTCAGGTATTCGAACTCGGCCTTCCTCGAATCCCATCGAAGAACGCCTCTGTCATCACGTACAGCTCTATTCATTACGTACTGCCTAGGGCTGGCCTAACGTGTCCCCGAACACGCAGCCAGCGATGATGCCTATATCCGGATGCTGAACTCTTCTCGTATGATCAAGCAAGCTCCCATAGGTCAATATATCCCCCCCGCTCCCTGCGCCATCCCATCCTCCTTACATAGATTGAACCTGTATATGCGCCGTGGTCGTTCGAAGCTCGGCCTTTCCAGCGCCTTCAGTAGCAAGAGACTTCAGCCCGCCATTGACGACCCGTCTTTTTCAGTCATGGGGTTACTCTTAGGACAACTACCGGGCTAGCACGTACGCATGAACATATGCAAGTCCTCGGCTGCCGGGATGCCACCCACCTCACAAAAGGGAACGAGACGTTCCCATTTGTAGCGAGTCCGATGTATCCGTTGCCCAACCCAACAGATCGGTCGATGGTGAACGCCTAAGACGGAAGCATGGTTTGGAGGCAGGTCGGAGCGACGAATGTCTTCGGCCAAATCCCGAGATCCCAGCCGTTAGTCGGGGTTTTCAAGAGGGAGTTAGGTAGGTAGGTAGATTATGCGCCGCTATCTCTGTGGCCACCCAACTCGTGGACATCTCTCGCCGGTCCCGTGAGTAGAGAGACTTGGTGCTACCGCGGAGCTTTCGGGACACTCTTAGATTATGCACATTTCCTGTTTCAGGCTTAAATAAACCGCTCGTATGACTTACTCAATCGTAGTCTCTTGCCTACTTGCCCGTCGCGCTGCCGTCTTTTCAACGCGCCCATTCGACGAGGCCATCATGACTCCATGCCGTGCTTATACCTGTTGTGAAAACCGCGGCTCCTTTCCCTTGAAGAAGTCGCTCGCTAGTTGCCTGGGCGCCCGGCTTCGTATGGCGACTCAGACGGGGTGTACCGTTGAGGAGGCGACTCTCTTTCCATTTCATTAGTGGCCCCTATTCTCGGGAAACACCCTGGACTTGTTCATTAGGACTTGTTCGCGGAGGTCGCCGGCAGCGCTTACAGACACAGAAGCAGCCTCGTCTCGGGGATACTCGACAGATCCGTCGACTGGGCTGCGTAGGTATACAGCTGGTCTCGGGGCCGGGCCTTCTTTTGGCATGTGGTTTCAAGGGAAAGGATACCGTCGGTAAGAGGCGAGAAAAACCTGAATTTTCTTCCCCTTCCTCTTCTTCCACCGTCTCTCTCTCTCGCCCGCCCTCTCCGCTACGTTGCCCTCGACAGCCACGTATCTGTGGCACGCGAGTAGCGCGGGCGCATGCGCGAATCGGCCATTTGCGTTCTTGTTTGGGGGGGTGAGACATTCGAGGCCAAGGGCGGACGCCTGATCCACGCGTCCATTACCGAGACCCCCGATGCCAGCCGACAGTCTTGGGATACGGTGCCGCGCGGAAGGGCCGGAGCCTTACCTACGCCCCGTTGGAAGATATATCCATAGGGGATGACAATTTCCCTTGCCTCGTTCCCAAGGATAGCGACCGGTCTGTCAGGTGTTTCAAGACATATCACACGGACACGATCCCTAGTTTACTAGTTTATGCCGCAGCCATACCCTGGCGCACGAGATAAGACGAGAGATGAACCTTCGCTCGTAGGGAGGGGGGCGGCCACTTGCTCGTGACGGATGAGGGATAGCTAGTTGGCTTCCCTAAGTAAGTAGTTGAGAGTGCTATCAACTTCGGCCATGGAAGAGTATTGCAATTGAACTAGGAGAAACACGTTGGGCCCACAGACAGGTACTTCATGCCTGACCGTGTACTGTGAAGGCTACTGTGAGGACGAGGTATTACCCTAAACTACGGTGACGATTATATCCCTCCCGACCCCTTTACAGGAAAGGGCCGGTTCGTGCTCGGAATATTCGATTCTCTATGGCTTAGGGACGATGCTAAAGTGCTAACCCACTACAGATTTTATATCGGCAGTCTTCGGTTGGATCCTTGGCTTAGGGGCAGCGTGGGCGAGACTATATCCGCGAGCTTACCCCATCGTCAAAATGGGGGCCAAATCTGACCAGTGTTTTATTCGTTACAAAATACGGTACAATTGGTCTGATGCCACCGGCTGCAGATATATATTACGGTTTGCTATATGTAGGCCCAGGTACGTTGAGTGTCCTGATAGGGGCTGACTGGACATCCCCGCGGGCATATTATCAATAAGGACGATTCTTATGTTGGACTACACGACATTGACGCCAATATGCAATGTCAATTTAATAAACCATACCTGCATATCCCGTTCTAATATTGATCGATATTGTTACCCTCACCATGCCGGCTGTTAGCCATAGGCACAGTTCAGAGACGGATGGAGATAAACATAGGGGTGGGGGGGTAGACAATGCACATAAATACCTACTAGGCAGACACTATATATGAATAGATTCTCTGAAACATAATACATCACTATGGCAGGGGGAAGTGAGCTAAATCCATCTTGGATCACCAACCGGAAACTCGTTCTGCCAAACCACGGTCCTAGGACACCTACCGTGGAAGTGTGATAGAAGCGGTACGCATGCAGGAGACACGCTAATGGGGATGCTGCAACTTGCGGCACAGGGCAACTTACTCTCCAATCATCTAGCTGCCCATATAAAAGTGTCGTACTTGTATGTACGTGGATAGGGCCATTGGTATTCTCACATGCGGACCAGACTCACATCTACCTACGGTGGACAGACTACGTACCAGTTACGAAGATGCGGTACGCATCTGCCGTCATACGAGCTCAAGCCTCCCTACGGAACTCCCCACTGGCCAGACTGAGCCAGAGGATCGACACGTGTACGGCTCGGTACGTGGGCGAGTTTGGCGAACTAGTTTGTAGGACTAGTGATCTTCTGCTGATCACCTCCAGGGTTTCAGAAACAGACACGGGATGGGGATCGGCGCCCCGGGCGTAAGGGGGACGGCATATAGGGAGGCTGCATCCGGTGAGCGGGATTTGCTGACGGAGACAGACGGCAGGGCTCTTAGGGTAGGCGTTGGTGCGGAGAGAGGAGGGAGGAGGAGGGAGGAGGAAAGGGAGAGGGAGGAGGAGGAGGAGGAGAGGGGAAAGCTGCCTACCTGTTCACCTCCCCCGTAGCTCTCCCCTTCGAGCCGCCTCGCCTCGCTCTCGCCCTAGGCTGTGGCTTTCCCCTCCTAAGCGTTTCGAGCCATCCCGCGGGCGAGCTGCCAGCTCTTTTCGACCCTCTGCATATATCATGTCGACCCGGGCGCGATGGCGTGCAGGGCGGTGGCAAGACGCAATACATATGCGCCCGACCAACCGCGCGCGCCCTCCCCCCCTCCTTCTTATCGACAGGTCGCGTAGCGGTGATGAGTTCTCGCAGTAGAACCCGCGCGCCAGCGCGCAGCGAAGCACCTGCGTACGGGTCCCGCCGAACCGCAGCGACCCGACGAGCCCGCTAGGCCTTTGGGGCCCTTCCCCCTCCCCGCCCCTCGTCCGTCCGCGTTCGAGGGGCGCTCGCCCCAGGGCGGCGGTGCTGGTGGTGGTGCCCGTCGCATCCATGAACCGGGGCGACGAGGCACAGCAACGCACGTCCGCGGCCTGGGCAAGGCGAGATTGGAGTCTCGACGCGAGGCGGGCATTCTTCCCCTGGGGACTGGTCACAAAAGGCTTATGGAGTATCCTCGTCCACGTTTCGGCCCGTATACCTGCCTACATGACGGACTGCGTCTATCGCTTAGTATGAGTAGGGGGGGCAGGGGAGGCCGAGATAGGGGGGGGGGGGTGTCAGAAGAAGCAAAATACGTCAGGGGTTTTTTTTTCATTACCTACGTGTGTGTATGTAGTTCAGTAGCGCTTCCAACCTAGCCTGCCAAACACATACGTGTGTGCTTCTGTGTGACGGTTTCCGGGAGGGCATGCCTATCCGAGGATGTGCTTTTTGCTCAGTGGTGCCGCCAGCCACGCGCATAGCATTCAGGGTCGGGCTTCTCTCGTGCTGGAGAGCCGTTAACGTAGGAGGCTCCGGCTCCGGCTCGTGGTGGCCGTACGCACGCATTTCCCGGTACTGTGGATGGATACTAATCTCGATTTGTTCCTATTCGGGACATATAGGCTCCATAGTACCCTTGTCGCGGGCAAGCTACACGCTGGTTTCTCTCCGCTGACCAGCCGCTCACTGGGGGGGGGGGTAGGTAGTAAGACGTAGTAGTGATGAAAATTAACGATTCACGACGCCAAAGCGATGGGAGTGTGCTCAGCTCCTCTGTCGCCCCCTCTCCCCCCCTTCGCTGACGGGATGCTGCAGCTGCATCAAGGGGGCATATTAATCTCGGGAGCACATCAGTTTTTGGCCATGGCTGTCACTTCGGGTTTTCTCTTACAGCCCAACCAATACCACGACCTCCCTAATATCATTCTTAGTCAGGGCTGTCAGGGTCATTGCAGAGGGCTGATGGGTCCGCAGCCGGATAGAGCAGGGGGGGTTTCATGATCGACATCTATAACTACCGCGTGCGTGGGCGACAGGTGAAAATACCGAGCATTTTCGTCTATTGTAGCCAAGTACTACGCGGGAGGGCCTTTATTGGCAATGGCCGGAGGGTGTTGTGATACCGCCGCCTTTGTGGGACACGTGAAAGATTCGATGGGAACTGGTGCCCACGCATCTATCTACCATATTCTCTCCGAAGAGCCAGGTTTGAAGATCTTTTTACAGGTGTATGCAGATCCCTCGGGGTGATCTACGATACCGGTACATGTGGAAGAATGCACCCAGACTCATGTATTGGCGGTAATAGCCGTTCGGTAGGGGTTGGTTATAAGAGGGTCTAGTAAGATGGTGGGCGTTTCCGTCTAGGGGCGAGGAGAAGAGCGTAAGCACAATAAGAAGCTCTCCAACGAATGCGTCATGAAATATGCTACGATATTGATGTCATGGTGATCAGTAAG